TGTTGTATGGGCTCCTCGGATGCCTTGATAATAATAGCTGGGCCTGCTTCTAGAATAACATCGTCTTCGTCCTCAGAGTACGCATCGGTCTCTTCGTCGGAAAGCTCAACCAATGGTGTTGCTCTTGTTTTTTTGACTCGAGCTCTTGGACCAGCTGCCAGGATGTGATCCTCAGTCTCTTCAGAAAAATCTTCTTCCAACCCTCCTTGCTCTACGTCGGCCACGGAAGCAATCTCGCGCTTGAAATAGTAGCGTAAACCCACCGGTATGAGGACGCCTACTACCACTGCGGATAATAGGAAGAAGTTGCGCCACGAAATGAGATGGAAATCAGCAGCGGACGTCATCTCATCTAGACCGCCTCCAATCGTCGTGTGTATGACAGTTACGCCGAAGATACCCAGCCATGTGCTGATCCAGAAGGGGACAATACCAATGCCAACATGGGGACAGATTACGTTGACAACCCAGTGCGGAGGGAGGGGGGCAATGCGGAGGACAATTAAAAAGGATATGATGTTGTCTTTTTGTGCGCGTATCTTGTCTGACCACTTATCTAGACGGGCTTTCCACTTGGGTACGGTGAGAAGCGCAGGGCCAAACGCAGCACTGATGAAGTAGCACAAAGTTGCACCAGTAGCAACACATGTACAAGCAAGTGGGAGCGCGCGCGGCACACCCCATACTGCTCCACCAAGTATAGATAGATACATCGACCCAGGAAGAGAAAACGCTTGTAGGCTAAGGAAAATGTCAGATTGTCTACTTCACAGAAAGAACAGACCTCACAATAAATATGTTATAGCATAACATATTACGATGCGGAACGGGTAGATGTCACGGTATTTTTTCAAAATGGCATTGAGAGCCTGTAGTTGAACAAATGATTTCGGTATGCGGAGTGACGGCCGGTCGGCTCTACTTTTCGATAAGATGTGCTAAGCAAGAAGGAAGTTCGAAGGACATACTCGTCAAGGGTGGGAAGAGTCAACCACAGAGTTCCACCTAGGAGAATCGTACTGAGTATAAACACAGCTGCCATCCTTATGGCTGCCTTGAGTAATAATCTTGGGGAGGATGTATGGGATGCCTGCAAATGTGCAGGAGTGGCTCCATAAAGTGAGCCAGTTTCAGATTCTGGTGCAAGGAGGGGAGCTCTATCGTCTGCAAACTCCATAATTTCAGGATCATCGGGATGGACGGTAGTAAGAGTGTAGGCTGATGCATTTTGGTGGTGCATGGCTCCGAGCAGTGAAGGTGAGGGCATGGTTCCCGACGATGAGAGCACGCACTCGAAATTATATAAATTATATTAGAAATATGTCATACATAACTTGGCTAAGTACGTGGGAATATTATGGCATTTTCCACAAAGCACGGAGGATGATTAGCCAAGTACTTAGCGCGCTGAGCTCGTGCTGAACAACGAACGACAGGTGTCCACAGGCCCTGCTCATCGTCCAGCACAGCGTGCAAGATGACTCACATCCTGCCTCCGCACACTGACCTCAATCTTGTACCATCGTCTCTTCATTCAGCCCTTCATATGGACCCAAATCAACAGCAACAGCAGCTTCAACAGCCTAATCAGCCTCATCAGCAACAGGCGCCGACAACCTCCAAGAAGAGAGGACGAAAGGCGGACACAAATTCCGATGAAGCTGGCTCACCGTCCGAACCAAGACGGCTCAGACGCTCCCATGAGGCTTGCGCACGATGCAGGAGCAAGAAAATTAAGGCAAGTCCCGTCGGTAGACACCGACCGCAAATCTCCGTCCGCCAGTTCAGCTTCTCTTCTGACACAACGATGAATTATACAGTGCGACTCGAAACATCCTAAATGTACAGCGTGCGCGACTGCCGGTGTCCCTTGCCAGCAGGAGGATAGACATAGACAGACCCTCACTCTTAGAGGTCACACCGAGTTCATCGAGCGCCAGATCGCTCAATGCGATGCTCTCTTGAAACGCCATATTTCTGATTTCAGTATGGCAAATCTTGATGAGATATGTCGGAGGGAGGGCATCGAGGTCGACGGCCATCCCGCCCCTGAATTTGCTCAATCGAACCCACAGTTCCCACAGCAACCAAGTGGCCCTCCTCCCGGAGCGATTTACGGGCCTCCTTTCGTTCACCCCGCATACCCTTACGGTGTGCCTATGCCGCATGGGTACCCATCACATATGCCGATGCCAGGACCCCCTGGCGCTTACGGACCTATTCATCCTGGGTTTCCCCCTCCCCCTCCTCCACAGCATATGCAGGCCCCGCCCCAGGTGCAACAACAGCCTCAACCACAGCCACCACAGCCACATACAGTCCCGCCTCCAGTTGTAGCTGCTACGGCCAATGTTGAAGTCAAAGGTCAAGATCCGCAGTCTTTGGATATGTCAAATACGAGGGTCGGTCTTTTTTTGTGCGACGTTCGTGCCCTCATCGTTCATCTTGCTGACAGGCAATAGCCAAGAGCTTCGGCGTTCACCCTCTCATCGTAAACGACAGTCACCTGGGCTCAGGTGACAAGGAAGATCTTGCAGTTGGCTCAAATGGCTTATCATCGGGGCGTGATCGTGGCATCACGGAACAATCGATGCCCCGTGATCTTACAAAATGGATTTCTGTTTCTGTAGCAACCAGCAATGCTGGTGGCTCTTCTACGGTATCCACCTCTACACTAACATTATGGATGCCCAAGGATCGCTCGTTGACGAACAAGATCGTTGACGTTTATTTCACCCACCTCAACGTCCACCGCCCTGTCTTCTTCCGGTCAGACTTTGAGCGCAAGTTAAATGCGCTTTATGACGGGGAGAATCTACAACATGATCCAGGCTTTATTTGTAGCATGTACCTCATTCTGGCACTTGGAACGTTGAGCGAATTGAATCACCAAGGGAGTATCACTGATAAGGACAAAAAGACGCCTAGCGATAGTCCGATTAATACCAAGAAGCTGCTCCCTGCTATATGGCCTGAGCACGATGAATTTTTCGAGCGTGCGCTGGCCGTAAAGCCTCACCTACGTGTCACGATCTCCAGTCTTCAGGCACTGCTTCTGTTACATTGGTATCTGTACACCGAGGTATGTCCATTCTAACTTTCCATCACGGGTTTTAATGCTGCCATCAATTATCAGCGACAAGGCCGCTCCCTTTGGCGCTTGGTCGGAAGTCTTGTTCGTCTTTCAATCGAACTTGGTCTGCACCATGATCCCACAGCGCAACCCAACACCTTCACAGATGAAGAATGTCAACTACGCATCCGGCTTTGGGGTACTGTCATGGTGCATGACCGAGGCACTTCTATTCTTCTCGGACGTCCACTTGCCATCGCTCCCTATGACTCCAACACGCCTCGCCCCACACACGGACTCAAGGGCCAGACTGTTGATTTCTCTGAACATTTCCTTCTTTCTCACCCCATCGCCGAGATACAAGCGGATATCATCAACTCCCTCTATGCTCCTTCACGGCAGAGTGCTGATACCATCATGAGGCACGCATCGAGGATCATCAAGAGTATGCTCGAATTCAGGAGACAACTCCCCGATAGCTACAAGTGGTACTTCGGAGGAACTGAAGATTGGCCTTTGGAGAGGCGACAGAAGCTAGTCCAGGACATCTCAGAAGATCAAGGACTGACGTTACTCAAATTTGGTATAGCGAGGATCTTACTTCTTCGTGCCCTGTTCAGTCTTAAGGAACTCGACTACAACCACCGTTCGAAGGCACTTGTCGATGGTATGTTTTCAGCATGTGCCATTTGCCATTTTTTTGACGATTTACTCACATATTAAAGCTATCGTCACGTCACACAACATTATCATCATCCACAATCAGCTCATTCGTTTCCCCGACATTGCCTTTTTCGTTTCTCCCATCCCTCTCCATATCGCGGCAATGGTCATCCTCTACGGTCACATGTCTCACTGCGAGCGCCTCTCACGCCAGGTGATGATCGAAGACGTTTGGATGGCACTTGACATGCTTCCACGCTTCCGTTGGCGTTGGGAACGAAAGGACTTGAATGGCGGACACCCTCTTATCTCCAAGCTCGCTGAGAAAGTTCTCAACGTCAACCTCCGCACAGTTGGACCTACCAAAGATCCTGTCTTACTGTCTGAGCTCGATTGGGAGACAGATTCACCTGGGATGCTCTCATCACCAGCGTTGAGTGGTCAACAGCAATTGCGCGTGCATCCGGGGACTCCCACGATGTCACACCCACCTTATTCAAATGGCGGTGTCGGGCCCGGTGTTTATGGTCCGCTTCCGCGTGGTGTCACTGTAAGCACGAACCCTGTTAAAGGGCTTCAAGGATCTGTGGGTAACAGTAATACGCAGGACAAACTCGCAGAGGTACCCCCTGGGCTATTTTACCCATTTTATCCTGAGAATCCGATGAGCGCTACCCCCGGTACCGTTTCTGGCCCTCATAGTGACGCCGGAGCTACCGGTGGAGACGCTGGTCAGGACCCACAGGGTTACAGCCACCTGCTGGCGGCGGCGGCGCAGCCAAATGGAACATACGGGTGCCAGCCATCGTCAGATTCATACATGCTTGAAGAGATTGTACCCGCTCATGGTAATCAGGTGTGGATGAATGTCGTCAGTCGTTGATGCTGTCTTTCCACTGGCTGTTACTGAATCGTCCATCACAGAGCCAGAGGTCTATGTCGTTTGCGCATCAAGGTTAATCACCTTATCCATGTACAGTATCTGTTCGTTCTCTCCCCGTGTCTCAGCTTTCACGCTGAGGACAGTTCTTACAAGGCTCTCTTTTTGTATTCCTTTTTATGAACCTAAAATGTTTCTTTTCTCAAATTTTACATTTTGATTCCGGTCTTTCCTCATTTGTCTTTGTCTTCATCGTCGTTCTATCCCTCTCGTCTAGTCAAGTCTGAAATCCACCTATTTTATCCTCATGTCTGAAGAGTAATATGTGGGAGAATGTACGATTATGCGATGTAGGCTGATTAATTTGATCATTTCAAGATTAATGGCGTGTGGTATGAATACATGCAGGTGGCAGAACATCAGGAGTATTGTCTATAAAAGTAGTCTATGCAGTTAGGCCAAACTCTACAATGTGAAAGACAAATGAAACGTGCATATATAATTGTCAGTAAAATCAGTGTTTGAAGAATGCCAAGTCTATCCAAGGATCCGTTCCATACGGTCCAGGACTACGTCAATGGCCCTGATGAGAAGAACTACACGCCGGGGAAGCAGGGCAAATTTATTTGTGTCCTTGTCGCGGTCATGGTGCGTAGGATGAACAGAGGTGGGATTAGTGTATTGAGCTTGCATGGCATTTTCGAGAGTAACAGGTAGGGAGATGGTGATGCGTGTTAGTTGGATAGTGAGCCGTGATCTGCCAGCGATATCAAAATAAGGAAGCTGGCGGAAGGCGCTTTGTATCTCTACAGCGCGACAAAGCTCGCCGTGGAGGGCAACAACACAGGTGCGGCAGGCTATTTGTTGATGATGTGAGATCAGTTATACATTGTATGGCAGGTGATTTACTCAAGATGCGTTCACGGACACTCAGGAGGACCGAAAGAACAGAGTTTACACCGTCGTCACCCAATTCAAGTGATGGATTTAGATCACCGATAGCCCCTGAAGGTAGAGACATGAGTATGTGAGACACGCAAGCAGACATGTGCTTACTGAGTAATGTGCGTATCATCTCAAAATCACCTTCGAGAAATTCGCTGAAGACGCTCAAGAGAACACCTTTCAGCGTTTCATCCGCATGGGGCGAGGACTGGGTAAAGAAGTCATATTTAAGGTGTGAGTGTGCAGGACGGGAGTCGTAAATGCGTTTCGAGGACGGATTGCTGAGGACATCGTATGCGACGGAGACTTTTTGGAAGGCGGACGTCGCGTCGGGATTTCCGGGAAATTTGCTGAGTTCAAAGTGAAAATGAGATATTACTACTAAGAGTGACAAGGAACATACTCTGGATGGCAAACCCTGCTGCGAGAAAGATAGGCGCGTCTTATGGTCACTCTGTCGATTGTTTGGGACCTAGTAACACCTAGAATACAATACAGGTCGTCACTGGAAAGGACTTGAAGCATTTCTGGGGTGTAAAATATATCATCATTCGGCGAAGACTTGAAAGTGTCGCAAGATTTTTGTTCTTCAGCTGATGGATAGGGTTGTGGTGACCACGTAATATGTTTTGGATGGACAGGCACATTGTCTGTGGCATTGTGTTCATCGTCCGTGGCCCGGAGATGAAAGAAGGAGGATGCTATGGTTGTACTGTCAGTATTACTTGTCCTATTGTCAACTCTGATTGACTGACCTGTCGAAAAGACATAGGAGAACATCATCGTTCATGAACATGCATTGCCCTGGAAACATGTGTGGTGCAGTGAGAAAACGTTCTCCAGTCTTATCTCTTGCAGTCGTCGGCGGTAATCAAATTTCAATTAGACACGTATACGTAATCTAATCTACATCACTTGAACTTGGAGATCGGCACAAAACTTCTTAACCGCCACTGGAATCGGTTTGCGATCCAACTCGTATTTGTCTCCCATCATGGTGAGTCTTATGGACGCATCTCGCATAAAAGATGTATCTCCTTTCAACAGTGTGAGATCGTACCGACCAAATGCCCAGTTCAAGATCCAAATTGCAGAATCTAACCGAATAAATCCCTTGACTCGCCAAACGCTCTCCTTGCTTAGAGAAGCGAGAGCACTCTCGAGCATACCCTTATCCACATCCACCTCAATATGCGAGGTGCACGATTCTCTATCGTGATGTTCATGGTTGTGACAGGTCGGCAGGAATCCCCGGTATGCTGTGAGTGTCTTTACTTCATCATGATGATCCTCGATACCCTGGGGAATTGGGTCTCTGAAAAGCTTGGAGTCGATACCAAAAAGAACGTTTGGGTCCACACCGTTACGACCATTGCACTTGATCTTGGGAGTGTCGAGATTTAGGGTATTAAGATTATCGATCAGTATGTCTAGGGCTCGTTCATCAAGGTGCTCGTGCTTGTTCTGGGCACTTGTATAAGATTGCCTCATTATAACGAGGGAGATACGTACGATAAGAATAATATCCGAGTAGCTTGCCTGCATCTTGGCTGTGGGAGAGGTATCTTCGTACCCCGTGAAGTTCTCGGCATCGATGACGGTAACTATTGCGTCAAGTCGAAGGTCATTGTTTGTCTGTCGCTCAAGCTCACGGATCTGGAACGCCAGTGTGGCGGGAAAAGCGGATCCTCTGACTCCATGACAGTGAGTACCGAGCTAGGGGTATTTGGATGAACTTACGAGCATTCAATAATGATTCGGTCAGGGCGGTATTTGTCTGATATATATATAAGTGCTGCGAGGTTATGTTAAGTCAGACTGCAAGTACCTCGGATCTCGCGAAGGGCTGTTTCCATCTGGCCGACGAGTACGCAGCACCTACGCATGATACGGTCGATTAGGAATTGCTAAGATGATGAAATGTGGACATACATGCAACCGTTCAAGATCTCACTGACGGCAGTCAAACTGGATTGTTTAGCCAGCTGGCTATCCACTGAAAGGTAATGTATATTCCCTCTAAATCTCCAGCGATCGCAGCAATTATGCACACCTTGAACGTCTCCAAACTCATTCTTGAGTAAGACCACTTTATAATCCTTGGGAAGTAGTGGAAGGAGTGACAAAATAATGGAAGTCTTTCCTGCGCCAAGAAATCCAGTGAAGATAGTGATCGGTATATGGGGTGGTTGTCTTGAATCCATCTTCGTGTGAAAAATTGACGGTCCTTTCGGTGACGGTTTGCAGTCTAGGCGAGACTGCAAACGTGACACGTGACGACTCAGCCACAGCGCTGCCTTACTCGTTGGGCTCGATTGCCAATCGCGCTCCACCTGGACCTCGACCACCAACGATCAGGACGGATCATCAGCGCAATCGGCGTGGCCGGACGAAAATCGGGCAGTGCCGTTGGTGAGTACTTGAGTGCCAACTGCATTCCATTCGATCTGGCAGCTGCCTGTGCTGCTCATTCATCATCTCATCTAGTGATGTGCACGGCCCGGCTTGAGGCCCTGGGCCGGCCCAAGCCGGGCCCAAATAGGCCGGGCCCAGCCCAGGCCTAAGTCACGGCTTGAGGAAGGCTTGGCCCTTGGGCCTGGGCTTGGGTTTCGAAAAGCCTGAGCCGGCGGCCTAAGTCACGGCTTTGGCATGTTCAGTGGCACTGCCATAGAAGCCTTGCCGGAGGTACGTTTTCCAACTCTATTTTTGTCTTTCTCTGACTTCCATCAACTCTGTCAGCTTCGACTCGGATGGTCCACATGTCACAGTCAAAAAGCCTGCATTGGACAACATATCCAGCAATTTCAACGCCTTATCTCTTGTCTGTTGCTACGGAAAAGCCATGGTGAGCTGCCAGTGCTATGTCCTGTGCTTCGCGAGCTCGACATAGTAATTCACTACTCATTTCATACGTTGCACTGCTTGCGCATGCAGACTCGACTCTAGATGGGGGACTAATATGTTTGTTGGATTAAAGGTGTGTGTGTGTGTTTTTCCAACATCATGCGCACGGCTCACTTGAACATGTCTGCACTTGCCCATGCCTCCACTCTTGTAACATATAGCGAGACGGTCATGTGGGAGCTAGACAAAGGTACGCCAACATCCACTCCTCCTTCTTGACACCTGTGCCATCCACATATGTTCGAGTCATGTCAGCATTCGCTGACATGTGCTGGACATATGTGCCAAGCACTGGCGGCTGACCCGCAGGTTTACCCTTACATGTAATAGTTCCCTACAATGCCCTCGTCCCATCCACCACCTCTCTCTCGTTCTTGTTCTCCTCCTTGTCTTCTTTCTCCTGCTCTCGTCCATCGTCCGTATCCGTCTGAGCCACGTCAGCAGTTGCTGACGTGTGCTGGGCGTTTGCGCATGGTGTTTGTGGTATTTGGAACGGCATGGTGGAGCTCGGACATTGATTACAAGCAATTCAGCATGTGGGCCGTGGCTTTCATGGGCCTAAGCCCCAGCTTTGGGCCGGCTTGGGCTCATGGCTCAGGCTTGAAATTTGGTGAGCCTAAGCCCCCCTCAGGCCGAGCCTAAGCCGGGCCGGAACATCACTAATCTCATCATTGCTAGGCACGCAGGAGAGGCTCGCGAGTGCTCCGTCCACGCTTATCCATCTGTGGCCCTCTCTTGTTTATTCGTTGGATCAGCATGCTGCACGGTATGAGGGTACCCTCGCTGGTTCATGTGAGTTCACTCTGTCTCTTAATACTACCCATGACGCGCCGTTTGACTTTCTGACCATCACAGCACGCCTATCCCTCTGTGGCCCTCTCTCGTTTCTTCGTTGGGATCAGCATGCTGCATGGTACGAGGTACCTTCACTGGTTCATGTGAGTTCACTCCATCTCTTAATACTACCCATGACGCGCTGTTTGACTTTCTGACTATCACAGCTGAACGATCAACAAGTTTACACACCTATCCCTCTGTGGCCCTCTCTCGTTTATTTGTTGGGATCGGCATGCTGCATGGTACGAGGTACCTTCACTGGTTCATGTGAGTTCACTCCATCTCTTACTACGCATGACACGCTGTTTGACTTTCTGACAATCACAGCCGAACGATCAGCAAGTTTGGTGAGCATAAACAGGACTGCACCAATGTGAGTGATATTCTTCTGAGATGGCCTTTCTGAATCTGACCTTCGTTTGTCACGGGCAGACAGGGAATTGAGGACATCACAAGTGAGTCAGTCCAGCAATGGCCATTCCTTTCTCCAACTGTTTCGATGATGACCAGGGACGATCGATGACATCTGGAACGAGAAGTTGGAAACTGGAACTGACATTCATCGTCATAGGTAAACAGTGAGCTCAAAACTGGAGCTGACATTCATCATCATAGGTAAATGGCATGCGAGCCTGCTAAAGTATGGTACTTGATTAGGACTTGGATGTGCATAGTATAGTCAAATAGAAGTGTACCGGCAGTCTGGGATACAGATGCACAAGTGATACAATATGGAGCAGCAGTGTCTGTTAGGTTTGTATATGAGTGAAATGGCTGAAGATTGAAAACACTACCGAGAGGAGGATCGAACAGTTGAAGCACCGCTGGTAGTAGCACTCAGTGAGATGTCTGGCCGTGTCGCAAGAAGTCATCAGCAAAACCCGGATAGGTTGTGCGGCACTGCACAGTACCATACAGTGACACAGACATCATAGGGAAGTCACCCTCTGTCTAGCCGAGTCACAGCGCTATATATTACACTTCAGATGTGTCATGCTGTGCCTTCGATCATGTACGGCACAGCCTGGTTATCACCACACAGTGCCTGTAGCGCTGTACAACACTGTATAGGCTGTTTGTGATGTACAGTGTTTTACAGTAACATATAGTGTTCTGTAGTAGCACTACATAGTAACCCCTAGTTATGATACCTTCCTGTACTAGTAGTAGTAACGATCATTTGCTCCAGTCTCGGCGAACTTGAGAGTCAATTGACAAATGTATTCAAGGGTTCTGTAAAACATGTGTGATGCCAATGATACTACTACTACCACCACTACAGTACTACTAATCGAGGTCGACGTCCCAGTCCGAAGTGTTGCAGCCTCCTTCTTCATCACCAAACACAGCACCACATGTATTCCTTGAAGTTTCTCGATGGTTAGTATACCGGTATGATTAAAACAAATACTTACAAGCCCTCCGCAGCCCAGGATTGTAACATCTGATGGAGCTTTGGACTGTGATACGAGTCCTTGTTGACACACTCATACAACGTTGAGATCGACTTGTAACTGGCTTCCGAATCTGGAATAGCTGTCTGCTTGCTAATGGCACCAGTCACCTGGCCATGCTTAGAGTAGATTTCAAGAACATTTCGAACCTTGATAGAGTGGTTAGCTTAAACAACGAGGGGGATAGGCACGCTCACAATGGTTGCAACGAGGATGAGAGCTTTGGGTGGAATGGTCTTCTGAAATGCGGGGAATTGCCTTAACGATTTGGACCCGCTATCATAAAATGCCTTGTGACAGACAATTCGAAGTGCATTGTGGGCAAAATTTGATGCGCGACCCTGTTGAGAGTTGGACGTCAAGGGCAATTAGAACCTACCTCGTCATCACGATCACCATGCAAAAACTTCGTCCTCTTCAATAGATCACTCGCTTTTGTTTTGATGTTTGCAATGGTGTTTCCCTGTACAAGTGCAAGTCCATATTCGATCGGGACGACGGCAAGTGCAACTTGTTTGATCCGGCTTCGGAAGGTCGCTGCATCATTATAAACCTGTGTCCGCACGAGTGATAAGTTAGTATATGAGCCACAATAGTAGTGTGAGTAGGGGCACTCACCACGATAGCCATCTCTCTTTTGTATTTTGGGTAGTAACCTTAATAAAAGTATTAGGGAGGGTAGCAGACGACAGAGCAGTAAAACACGTCACCTTTCTCAACTTGGCGTTTTTGGTCTTGCCAGTATACAATTGCTTCCGTAATTGCTTCACCACATACACCAGAAATGGTGTCCTCTTTTGTAGGGAATGGGACTGAAATAGTGAGATAAAGCCTGAAATTGGCCTTGGCATAGTCAAGAAGTTTTCCCCAGAGGTGTGGAAAGGAACTGAGGGTAGTTGGGTTGGCAGTGTCTCCCTTCTTCTTGGCATTGCGGCGCTTCCTGCCAGTATTAATATCATCGTCTTCTGAGTCTTCATGCCGATCGTCAGTATTGTTTGATGAGGAATTACCTGTGCGAGCGCGCTTAGACTTCGGGTGTTGGTTTCGAATGCTATTTAAGTAGGCAGGGGACAGAGAACACGGGCGACAGTTCATCGTATGGTGAAGTTGAAGGAGATCATAATCAGTATCAGGCTGAGAACGTAAACAACTTAAATACTGAAAATATAAGCAGGTGAGTACTTACTATGGTCAGAGCATTTGAACAAGCTGATTTGGTTGTGCCTTGCTGGCAGCGATCTTTATCCACATTCCTGTTCCGGTTGGCCTTCTTCCCTGCTTGTCCTGGGTGGTGCTGGACACGGTTCTGCTGGTCGTGGTCCATGCGGGCTGATGCTGTGTCGTCGAAGTCCTCGTCCTCCATCCCTGGATCAGGCACTGGCGTGGCAGAGCGTCTGGCCTGACGATGGCCAGAATTGGCCTGGTGATTGTGATCCAAGGCATGCGTGATATATTCATCCCTGTAGTCGGCGTAATCCATATGGTTATCGTCATTGCTTTTAATGCCAATGTCTTGCTCGACATCAATATCTTCTTCCTCGATGCCGATGTCTTGTTTATCGAGGCCCATACTGCCATCTTCATCGTCCCAGTCGCCCATTCTGTCTTCATCACCTATTCTGTCTTCATCAATCTCCCTGTCCGCCCCATCACTAGCATCATCTGAGTCAGCAAACAAGTGACTTGCAGACAAAGCAATATCAGGAAGGGCAGGGGGTGCCATGATGAACGACTTTGGACGTTGGTTGCTGACCCGTGGAGAATGAGAAATAGTATGGCCACTGAGTGGGACATGAGCTATGTCAGACTGATGGTCACTGTGAGAGATGCCACGACCAGCACCATGAGTAGCACCATCACGATGAGGAGCATCATCACGACGAGGAGCACCGTCACGGCGAGGAGCACCATCACGATGAGGAGCACCAGCACTACAAGCAACATCACCACGAACAGCACCATGACCGACACCATGAGCAACACCACGAGTACGAGCATTGATGCCGGCCTGGACAACAGGTGTCATTGAGTCAGGCTCAGGAAGGGTTTGATGGGACTGCAGGAGTGGCTTGGAACTGACATATCCCGAGGGAATCGGCTGATCCTGCAATCTGAATCTTCTGCTGTTTGCGATGTGCAGAGCAGGTAGACCTGTAATGGCTGGGTTTGACGTCTCCTGCAGAACACCATTGGATGTTAGTACTACTCAGGTGACACATGTCCCAAAAATGAGGAACAAGCAGACACCTACTACTATGGTGTTCTCCTGAGACGCTTTTGCTCTCCCCTTCTTCTTTGTGGGAGCCATTGCATTTTCAGGCTCATCTGGAGGGACAACAACATTTTGAGCCTTCGCGTTGGGCACTCTGGCCGGAGTCTCGATAGTGTTTCCTACCTTCCTCAACTGAGAAAGCACTCTTCCAGCGCCAGCGCCAGCCCGCTGTATATGACGTGGTGGAGGTTGAACATCCTCATCCGAATCAGGGATTTGGCGCTTTCTCCAAGTCTGTTTGCCCATGGTATACTAGTACCAGTAGTAGTACTACTACTAGCACAAGACTAGCAGTACTAGGCGGGAAAAAACAAAAGACGAACCTCAGGCTTCAAGTTCCGAGTCCGAAAAAATTACATAGCAGTAGTAAATGTATGTAATAAGAGGTGCACTGGCTGCCAGGAAGTGAACCAGTAGTAGTAGTATGCCAGTGTATTACTATTGCATCCGAAATTAATTAGTGCTGTGCTATACTACTAGTACTAAATTATGATTTGACTGCACCTGAGTATGTCGTTACCTGCAACTCCGTTCCTACTGCTAGATGATTGCCTACTGTCCTAACTGTCTCAAAGAATTTGCGAATCCGTGGGCTGTTACACGACACCTGAACCAACCTCGTACTTCCTGTCTACGATGGGCCAACCAGCTTGAGAGTGCATCACAAATTTTGCTCGACCCTACTAGTCAGGAAGACGAACACACAACTGAATCGTCACCCAATCAAACTCCAAGCTCTTCTCTTGATTTTCCAATGGACTTGGAATATGAGGTGCTGCTTGGGCACTGGCAGGATACTGACATACCTGTGGATGACCTGGATTGCCTCTACTCTGATGAGGGAGTCGCAGTGAACTTGGAGAGTGATGTTCCAGGGTTTAGTGCAGAATCTTTGGGCAGTCAGGCTTCGGGGCCCCGGCCTTTTGTTGAATATTTCAGAAGCGCTGCAAAGGTATATAGGCGTGGCCAAACCTTTCAGGATTGGTTCAATGTGGATGCATATGCAGCCCATCACAAGGAAAACATTTACTATCCATTCGCCTCCCTTCAGGACTGGGAGCTTGGCAGCTTCCTCTTGCGCTCTTCATTAAGTATGGCAGCCATCGATGAATTCCTGTGGCTCGAACTGGTATGTCTTGATTTGGTGATTGTGTTGTCACTGGAAGTTCTCATCTCTCTGAAGGTCAAAGGATTGCCGCTCTCCTTTCGCACAGCGAAAGATCTTCGGGGTCATGCAGAACTTCTGCCTCCTGTTCCTAAGTGGCAGTACCGTGTCATTTCGATAACTCACCCGACAAAACAGCCAGTACATTTTTACTGGTGCGATCCGTTAGATTGTATCGAAGCACTTTTTAATCACCTGCTTTTTGCAAAAGAACTCGATCTTACACCTACACGTGTATATGACACAGTGGAACGTACAATGCGGATATACAGTGAATGGATGATGGGGGACACCACATGGTCAATGCAGGTATGTACCTTGGAATCTACTGAAATAACTTTGCTAACTCTCACTTGATCATAGTCGCAACTTCCGGATGGTGCGACACTCTTAGGTGTCATACTTTCTTCCGATAAAACCAATATCACAAACATGACTGGTGGACACCTTGCTCACCTGCTCCTCATCAGTCTTGCCAATGTCAAGATGGTGACTCGAAACAAGGCATCCTCAAATGCCTTTCTTCTTACAGCACTACTTCCAATCACTGAATTTCTGCATCCAGTGAAGCGGATGCAGAGCGTCCTTGAAGCCCGCTTAGTCCACCAATGTCTGAATATCATTCTCAAGCCACTGAAGCAAGCTGCGCGCATTGGGCGGATGATGTCAGACCCGCTTGGGAATCTTAGATATTGCTTTATACCCCTGGCTTCATACATTGTTGATATGCCTGAGGCATGCATGCTTGCATGTGTTCGAGGCAAGACCTCACCAGTAACCCTCGCTATGTACAAAGAATTCGGAGATGACTTCTGTCACCCACCATGCACAGCTAAATCGACTCTCGACCAGCTTGCAAGCATCAAATGTGATCCCCTCGACGTCGGAGGCTACTTTGATGAATGCTCTCTCTTCCGCCTAAATGGTGTGTCCTCACCATTCTGGCATAACTAGCCACTAGCAGATCCATCTTCATTTCTGACACCTGAGGCCCTGCATCACTGGCATTGTGAGTTCTATGACCATGATGTTCGGTGGTGTCTTAGAGCTGTTGGTGCACAAGAATTGGATTTTCACTTCTCTGTACTACAGCAACTCATGATGTTCCGACACTTCAAGGATGGTATTTCAAATCTCAAGCAAGTCACAGGAAGAGCACAGCATGACATGCAGCGTTATATGGTTGCTCTTATTACTGATGCAGCTCCTCCTGGTGTCGTCATAGCTGTTCATGCACTTATGGACTTTCAATATCTCTCGCAAGCAACAACGATCAATGAAGCGCATTGCCAGTTGATTCTTGACACACTCAAGGAATTTCACGACCACAAACAAGAGGTCATTGCATGTGGTGCACGTCGAGGCACAAAGAGCAACAATGTTCTCGATGACTGGTATATCCCCAAACTAGAACTGATGCAGAGCATTGTGCCCAGTATACGCAACATTGGCTCCCTTGTGCAGTGGTCTGCAGACACGGCAGAGCATGCTCACATCACCCTTATCAAGGATCCTGCAGATTCCACCAACCACAACAACTATGACGCACAGATATGCCGGTTTCTTGATCAGAATGAAAAGTGTTGAAACTTCCGAATTACAACATCTATTATCGCTCAGTCTCAACCCCACCAACAGACCTCCGCATCTCCAATGATGGATGATGATTTAGACATTATAGGTCCAGGCATCAATGAAGCAGATCCATATGCAGTTGCCGATGATTTCTGGGGGCCAAAGCATACAGTCACCAACTTCTTCAAGAAGGCACAGCAAGTTTCTTCGGATACTGAAGCAGCCAAACCTCTCCATACATTTTTGGTTGGTCCTAGTATAGCAGTCCACCTCAATTTCGACGCTTCCATACAACACATACTGGTCAACATTGTGGCTGAACAATTCTCCCTGCCTGACTTGCGGGGAGCACTCGCTGACTACGTTGAGTGAGAGGGTTGCACAGGTCTGCCAACCTTCCACAAGCTGTGTGGACCACGCTGTGCACGACCTGATGCTCCTCTGCCATTTAATAACCTCAGGGTCTGGTTCAAAGTACGTATACAGCAAGCAGCGTACCATGGCCAATCGACTCCTGGTCCTGCCCTCATGGTGAATGCATTTCCTCCGAGTGCTACTTGGAAGTATGGTCGCTATGACGCTGCAATATTCGCTGTTGATGACACTAAGCTTCAACAGTGGCCCATTAGTGGGCTTAAAGGTGAGTTTCAAGTATCTGCTTGTGTGCCATGTCTGATGTCTGAGCAACTTGCAGGCCACATGGTTGTTGAAGTGCACCTTATTATGCAACCGCTTCCTCCGCAACGAAAGTCCACCATTTGGGCTGCACACTTCCTGGCTTATGTTCAACGCCTGGATGTCATACCTCAGCGACACGGAAGCTCATTGGAACACACGACACACATGCACATTTTAAAATGTGCAATGCGATCAGCAAGGGTTCCCTTTGGTGACATACTCCCACTGGATCAACTGTGTTCTTTTGCTCACATCGTCCCCCGCTTTGGTCCTGCTGCGTCTGACAGCAGAAAATAGTACTCACTCTGTACAGGTGTTTTTCTTGAACAAGTATATTGACAAGGAGTTTTACTATGCAATCTCGAACTCGTAGTACTAGTACTAGTAGTTTTTAGAGCAGCCTCAGGTACTAGAATACTATCACTGAATAATATTGGTAGATATCGTGTACTACTAGTATTTTTTACTACATATGTGTTGCTGTACAACACTGGACATCATGAACAGCCTATGCAGTACCAGGACGCGCTGGGCAGTGCTCCACAGCGCTGTAGAGCGCTACTTCTCATGATGCACGTGGTTTTTCTAGCTGACTAAACTGACATTGGTGGGGCTCACAACTGACTGGGCTGTGGCACATTGACAGCCCAGTTGTTGTCATACTGTCTCAATGCCTCTCACTACCATTATGACTCTTCCAGTCATGTACTCTAAGCTCACTATGAGCTCTGGATCCAAGGGTTGGCTCCCAAAATTACCTTCCAATCCTACTAGTAGTCCCTTAATTTCCTCTCCAAGTCCATTGGCGGGGTGTGCACTACTTCAGGTTGAACAATTTCAGAAACCAGCAGAATCTACTAGGACTATCACACTCCCAATAGACAGGCAACTTCCAGACAAACAAGTACTCGCAGACCTCAAAGCAGCAATGCAAGCAAGACTTGACATCACAGATGATGATCAAGCCAGCTTAAGCTTAGGTTAATATTTCTCAGATCGCTTATCTCAATCTTCTTTCTGACCATCCATCATCCTCATCATCTTACAGAGCATTGTGCAATTATTCTTGAAGCTCTTCAAAACCCACAATCAAACACTATCATAGGTTGTCTTATCATTGTCGTTGTTGATATCTGACTCGGGAACTTTTCAAGGTCATCGCTGGCATCACACTTGCAGAGTACATGGCAGTATTAGCATTTACATCTGAAGAGAGAGATTTTGAAGTTCAGGCAAAGTGTGCGCTGTCATCGACTATCCCTTACTACTTACGGTACTCATGACATATTTACAGATTCACCTATTTTGAGGACACACAGGAACTTCAGATCATGCCTCCCCTCCCTGTCCATGAACAACTGGCTGCCCACCTTTTCAAGGCCATCAACAAATTCACAGATGCTCTTCCATACAACAAACTCTTAGTCGACGTGACCGTACACCTCAACCACTGCATCCAAAACAAGGACACCACAAATATCCCAGATTTACACGTCGTTGTCACGACACAACCACCAGAGGATGACAGTTCGGATGACATGGAGATTTCGAAGCCTGTCTCTAAATGGGTTGGTGAATGTGGACTTTCATCAGACTACAACTTCATGGTGCAGAAGTTGAGAATCATGTGTGACGGCCATCGTGACATTGATCTTGCCTTGATCATGTCCTTCAAAGAGCGGGTTAGATGGCAACAGCCCAAGAAGACGAGTATTGCCACTCAAACCCTTCATACGAGTCCCGTATTAGAATACGAAGAATTCATCCCTGTGCGCATCAAGAAGAATCTCAAGTTTGGTCCAGTCACCCTCCACTCACATGTATGGATCGACATTAGCAAGGTTTGATACAGTGTATTCAGACGTGGTGTGGATGGCCACTTTGATTTTAACAGCAGGAATCCAGACACGTTTGGAGGGGGGTACATTTACACAATTACTATCCACGTCTTCTATATTCTAATCCCAGCTTGCTCCCTGCAGACTCTTTACCCGACAGTAGAGATGTCTGACGTCGAACACATGCTGAGGGATGGCGCCAATGCATTGAAGGAGTATATTGTTTCATTGATGGAAGGGATGAGTTTAGAGAAGTCTGCAATCCACCTTGTGCGCAATTCCAATCCCTCTTTCAAGCTCATTTGGGGGGCTGGTGTCAATCAAATATCTTCCACCATATATCTCACAGCTTACTGCCGTTACTTGGATTGGTGCAATCACAAATACAGCAAATGCAAGATCTCACCGACTGCCCAATCCTCAAGCACTGGTGATCAGAATATCGCCGCCTCCATCTCGTCTGATCCTACTACATTGGCCTCCTCGTCTGATCCTACGTCGGCCTCCTCGTCTGATCCTACATTTGCCTCGTCTGATCTTACAGTCCGTTCAAGTTCACCCTCTAGGCTCTCGCTTGATGTGCAATCTGAGCCCTTGGTAAAGAAGGCCAAGACCAAGCCTATTGAGGAGCCCGAGGTGAAGTCGAAGTCGAAGAAGATAAAGACAAAGACTCGCAGAAATGGAAAGGGGAAGTCGGGGCTCTAGGCTGGAGCTGTATAGTGAGTCATCCGCGCATTTGAAGTCCATTTTCTCCAATGCTCTCATAGCACATTATAACTTAGATGGTTGCCTGGGCACTCGTTGCAGTACTAGTACTACTAGTACTACTTGTAGCCTACTCTACTCAGCCTGTCACCATCATTCTCGCTTACATACTGTCATGTTACTCTTAATGTACCTGCCAATGTCTGTGTACTTGTAGCTTCTTCGCATCAGACTACAGTAGCATTACTAGTAGTGCTAGTGCACATTGTATTTGAATCATTGTCACATCACGACTTAGTAGAGCTGTCACTGGTCAGTCACAAGTGCTCGGCGTGACGACAACTTCTCAGTCAATGTCTTCCAACATCCAGCCTATGACATCTGCATCTGTTAAGAGCAGCGAAACTCTTTCAAGTCCCCGAAGACACTCACACAAGGCTCAGACCCTTGTAAGTGCACATCGTGCTCAGGCTGGAGATAGTATTTCGCAAAGCATTCTGCCTTCTGGGTTGTCCAGCACACCCAGACCTGTGAACACTACTACTACTATCTCCTCTGAGACCATCTCTCGCAAAAAAACCCTACCTAGCACACAAGGGGCTTCAAACTTCAAGAACACTCAAGTTGGAACTCCCAGGGCTATGGGCACGCTCCGAGACTGCCAATCCCCTGCATTATTGCATCATTTGACCAGCATGCCACCGAGCATTGCGCATTATAGGTTCAGCATGAAAAGTATCCCATTGCCCAAATTACCAGCAATGATGCAGCCAGACCACGAAGACCAGGACCATGAAGATGAAGATGAGGACTGCAAAGACAGCCTGAGTGTAAGTTCATAGGTAATGACATGCACTATCTGAATGACAATGTCCCTTAGGAATTTACAGACTCCAGCGACACTGACCGCACAACCAATGAACTCAAAGCACAGCTAGTCTTGAATGCAACCCGAGCACAACAAGATGTTCGCCTTGCGGAGAAGACATTGGCAGATTGCATTCTGAAGGAGAACACTGTGCTTGGGAAACTCTACAAATTTGAGGCTACAGTGGCTGAGAGGATGCTGGAGGATGCTAATATTGACATCAGCTTTGTACGCCATTCTGTCCGCAAAAGCGGCATCACTTTATATGAGGACTCTAAGCCTCGAAAACAATGTCGTCAATCTACTAGTAGTCAAGTTGACACTAGTACACTCAGGCCAGAAGGAGACTCAACTCGGGTACCAGGTACCAGTAGTTAGTTGTTTTTATCTAACCACTTCCACTTACACATTTTTTACTGGCAGGATCTGCGAGCGTGACTCTGTCCATGACATTCGAATCTGAGGCTGCAGGATTGGACTTGGAGTGTGTGTATTAGTTGTTGTACATCATATCGCAACAATTCATGCATCATAGTAGTACTACTAGTGCTCACTACTACTACTTATACCCTTTGGATATAGTAACGTGGAATTGTACTCTAGTAGTAGTACTATTGCAGTTTGTTTTATATACTACTGGTACACTTGAAAATTTCAAGTGCGGTTTCAGTCTGAATCCTGTTCCAGTTTCAAAAATTCCAATACTCAGGGTTTAATTTTATCAAGTTTGAAACCACTTCCTAGTACCAGAGTAGCAGACTGGCTTGCTGTAGTATGCTATGTAGTACTGCCTCGATCATGTAACACTGTACCGTCTGTAATACACTACAAGATGCTGTAAGTTGCTATAAATATATCACTACACATTGCTACAGGTGCTTGTGCTGCTGTAAGATGCTGTAAGATGCTGTTAGTGGCTTGGGCAGCTGTGATAAATTTAGGGTTTTGCTGATGGTTCATGCCACTTCTTTGCAACGGCATCATCCTTGCTCAATATATATGTCTTGCTACCCTTGGCATAGCGGAATGCACCCTGAGCCAATGGATGGTCAAGATTTCCACCAAAAAATGTGCGTGCATTATTGCATCTCAAGCTGCTGCTGAAGTCCGCTGCTCTGCGATGCTGTTAAGGATTTGCTGATACAAAAACCTCTTGCCATTTCCGTCGCTGAATGCATGCCAGAATGAGGCAGTGTCTGGGTAATGCTGGCGCTCCTCGGCAATGAACTAGACAAAGGTTTTGATTAATCAAGAAAGTGGAGCTTGCGGCAAATCAAAGTGAGAACACACCTTCCAGTTCCCCCACTCAACCCTTAGAGCATCCCAGGCTGTTGTTTTGACCCCCTTTGCCCTTTTGTAGAACTTACCCCAGTGTTTTACAGGAATTCCGCGACCACCCACACAGAGCAAGTTTGAACTCTCCCACTCCTCGCACAACCTGTCAATATCCTTCAAAAGGTGAATTGTTGGTGGCTCTGGGACTCGTGTTTTGTCATACTCAAACCGTTCATCACCAAGCAGAGCAACTCCAAGTTTAGCTGAGGGAATGGACTGCTGAGGTATGGCACGAAAATCCAAATGGCCCGGGGGTGAACTGACTTGCTGACTTGACAGCAGTAGCACTGCAGTAGTTGTACGAGCAGCCTGAGCTTGACCCATAGTAGGCTGTGCTTGGTGGGGAACATGGCTCTTGTGAACCAGAGACAGTGCAGAGCGGCAGACCAATGTCCGTACTGTCTGAGCTTCTCTCTGACATCAAACTTTGTCATTCTTCAGTTTCTGTTGGTGAGCAAATTCAACTAATGTTTCAGTATGCTGTGCACATCTTAGGGGCCTGGATCTGCTTACACCAGGAATTGATAGGTGACGAGTGGTGTTCCAGGTGTATACTCCTGGCCAAGGATGGGTAGGCAGAGTATTTCGTCACTAGATTCCGGCATGATTTTGCCCAGAGTGAGTAAGGTGTGTCAAATAGTAGCTCTCACACTTAAATGCAAATCGAACCAAACCATTTCTGCACTATGTCGGAAGCATCCGCATGTGAACTAGTCTGAGCCGTCTCACACCTACACTTGTTACTCACTATGTCTCTAGCTCAACTCAAGGGTGCCACTGCTTATCTTGTTGACTCCCAAGGCATTAGTGTCAAAGCTGCAGCTGAAGACCAAGATGAGGAGGTAGAATCCCTCCTCAATAGCTTCGACGTCGACAATAAGGCTGCCTGTGGCATGCTGCGCATCAGCACAAATGAAACTAACACCCTGTCATCGAAACATAAGAGGACACCTGCTGCTGTCCCAGTGCACCATGACCAACTGTCAGCAAGCCTTGAAACAGCCTCAGCAGGTGTCATTGTTGACACCACTCTGTCAGATTATCAGCGGTACATATCATATTCTGTCTGCAAACCTTGTTAACATGCAGTACAGGTACTGGAACCAATTCAAGGACTTTTGTGTCACTATAAACAAGGTTGTGTTGGCTGACGATGTTGATGGTCTCTATCCTAATCTTCCTGCTGACTTTCCCATGTGGATTGCACTCTGGATAATGGACAAGTGAGTTGTACTACCATTTGGACTTCTTTGTGCTGCACATACTGACTCAGAGTTCATAGATGTGATGAAAATGATATCTGGACTGGCAAGGCAAAGCCTCCGAATTTCCCACGTGTAACATATGGCACTGCACAGAAGATGCGAGCTGCTGTGAGCCACAAGTTCGGTCGTGACCACAAGCTTGGCACACAGCAATGGTCAGAACATCCAACAATTGCTAGAAAGTCAATCGGAAACCCTCTCAGTCACAGTCTCACAATACATGGTTAGTCTTCATTGAAGGAAGGCAAGTATTCTGTACATCTTCCTTTGCAACTCTGGCTGACATCATTTGTCAGGTACGGTCTGGTGAAGCTGTCACAAGTGCTTGAGCCATGGATGAAGCAACCATGAAGCACCTGTGGGATTTTGTCTGGGCAACACCATGCAAGGAGTATGGACCAACATCTCGCAAACGAAAAGCTGAAAATCCAGCAGAGTGGGCAGGGTTTGTGATCCGCAGTATGCTTCTGCTACTTTATTTGGTTTCAATGATCTGTCTCCTGCGCTATGACGAGGCCTTATGGATTACTTGGGGAGATATCACTTTCCAAGTCAAGGACAACTCAGTTGAAGGAAACTGGCTCGATGCTTCCACAGAACTATTGCTCCAGGGTGAAGGCTTCTGACCTGCTGACTTTCGTGTGAGACTCGAGCTGCTGTTCAGGAAAACACATCAATATGGAGGTGTGTTGCTTGACGAGAATGCACAACATATTGGAGCTGACTAGCAACTGTACGGGGATAGGATAGCACCATTCTATGTATATGCTGATGAGCAATGTCCATGGATGTGCTTGGTGTGAACATTTGCAGTTTGGTGGATGCTAGCAAGAAAGAAGTGTGAGAATCTTGATGGGTTTGTTTTTCAGAAGAAAATTGGCACAGACAGTATCAGTGTCAATCCCACTGATGGCATGGTGAGTTTTCTATGCTTCTTTGCTTAGCTTCTCGTAATTTGCATAAATTTTGTAGACCTCTGATGCATTCCTTGAATGTTTCCGTAACAACCTCCTGGATATTGGTGTGGACCCACATCCTTATGGTACTCACTCCTTCAGACAGGGTGGATGCCAATTTTTATACAAGGTATGCAGATGGGACTTCGGGGACATCTGTGATTGGGGAGGATGGGCCAAAAACTTCAACAATCCAGGTACAATCTTCAAGTACCTGCTGTCATGGAATGACAATCCTCATGAGAAGCGAGAGCACTATATGAATCCTAATAGACCACAGAAGGACCCTTGCCATGCTTGTGGTAGAACCTGTCATTGTGCTTGAGACTGTACTAATACACTGGAGAGTAATGGTAGATTGTTCCTCCACGCGTTTCCGTTCCTCTTCCGCCTCCTTGCGCTTGCGCTCTTCTTCCTCCGCCTCTCTCCGAGTGTCCGCCTCGAGCCGTGCGATTTCAGCGACCATTTCCGCCTGTCTCTCTTCGAGGAGTTGTCGGGCGGACTTCTTGTTGCTGGAAGTGGAGTTAGACATGTTAAAAGCAGTAATAGGAGTTAGGGGGAAAGTTTTAAACGTTTCCTGGGCGTTCCGGCCTACTTATATGCTTCAGTGCTATTTTTACGAGCTCCGCCCATCATCTCACATTCATAAAACTCCGGACCGGACTTCCGAATCAGAAGCCTCGTGGGCTCGGCCCTAAGGGGGGGATACTGTCATATCCCGCGTTCCGGACCCGGACCTATCACACACATCATTTCCGGAAGTCCGGATCCAGCCAACGTCTATCTATGTCCGGATCCGACCCGCGTCTAACTTCTGTGCCTTATTCCTTTGTACGTTCCTACTCCAGTTAGACTATATCATTTTCTGTACCTCATTTCATTTCTGCCTTTATTTTCATCTGTTCTAATCTCCGGGTTCATTTACTATTTTCCGATAGACTAGTGTTTGACTTTTCTATACGCTCCGTCCACAGCTTTGTATAGCTTCGGACTGCGCATCTCTGTTCTCCGATAAGTCCTCAGTAGTATATAAACCCTGTAGAATCTATGTACATCCTTAGTTCGAATATCATCTTAGACTCTGCTCATTCTCTCCTCCGTCCGACTTGAGTTTCTCTCTCGTCGACCTCCGCTCGTCTTAGGATCGACTCCTATAGACTTGTCACCTCCGCCTCTACCTCTGGTAGTCCTCCGCTGTTTCCTTTCTAGTTTGGACTTCGTCCGGATTAGTTTTATCTCTTGTTTCCGAACGTCTGCCGGAATTCCTGCACATCGGACATCGGACTCCAGACATCGCCCGACGCCCTCCGGACATCGTCCGGTAACCTTCGGACATCGTTTGACAGCCCTCGGAAGTTAGGGGCACATACTCGGGTAAGGGGCGCAGCGCACGAGCTGAAGCCAAGCCCTTCAGATCCGACCCTTGAGCACGTTCTTAACAATCACTGTGCGTTGTTGTTCTTTCCCTGCATTTGTCGTTAATGTCATTTTTTATCATCTAAGGCTGCAGGCGAAGCTGAAGTGCAGCTAGCATTGATGAACAATGCAGGAATTGTTGATGCTGTCATGACAGATGACAGTGATGTCTTCGTCTTTGGAGCTAAGACAGTCATTCAAAAGTAAGCTCTTTCTTTTTCTCAGTTTGACATTCTCATCTGATGCGACCATCAAGCTTTACACCATGAGTGCTATCCAGGAGCATGTGGAGCCCTGCCTTATTGGTGATGCCTTCGTGACGATGGCTATCTGCTGTGGTGGTGACTACGATACAGTATGTTAACTATCCTACAGACACTTTCTCTCATTAACATCTTTTTCAGAAAGGTCTTGCTGGCTGTGGCCCTGAGACTGCTCTCCATCTTGTTCGCTGCATGAACACCAGCATACTGGCACATGATAGCATTCCACTGGATCAGGCCCTGAAGTGGTGGTGGGATGCTGCTCAATACCATCTTACAGATGATCCCACTGGGAAACTAGGCTGAGCTCACCCTGCACTGGCCCGCTCGCTTGCTGAGTCATTTCCTGATCCCCATGTCATTAATCTGTATGTGCAACCTGCTGTCACCCCGCTCGCAGAGTTGCCTGTTGTGCAATCTCCTGCCCCGCCTGATCTTGCTCCACTGGCCTCAGTCATCCAACAACTCCTGGGCTGGGAGCCGAAAAAACTTGTCAGTGCCTTTCATTCCACCATCTGGCCTATGGTTATCTTGCACGAAATACTCGAAGTGTTACAATAACATGTAACCGAGAACCCCTCCTACGGAGGTCACCATGACCTTAGCCCCTATCCCGCCATATGCACCGTCTTGGAAGACTTACCGACTCAACGGAGACTCATAGAGACGCCTAGAACGGCCTGGATGCCGTTAGATGACCTAGACCAGCCTAGGCAACATCTGGACGGACCTAGATGGTCCTCGACCCGGATCATGGAGAAGCTCTGCTTCATGGTCAGAAGAGAAGCCGCATGCCGCAGCATGCGCAGTTAAGCTACAAGGCATGTTTAGCCTTGAGGACTAATAGAAGAGGCGTGCAACACCTCATGTATAGATAATCACCCGCATGGCATCAGATAAGATGCCCTTGTATAGACACACTTATACCTACCTACCGAACGTAGTATTGGTCTGTGCACACGGACGACAGTATATAGAGCAGACAGAATCATGTATATTCCCTACTTGATTCTACTAGGTTTTCATCAGAACTTCCTCTGTGTGATCATCCCAATCACTCAGTCTAAGCCGCACCTAAAGGAAAGCCGACACTACCTTTAGTGGAACCCTTGAACCTCTCATTCGAGAGAAGAACCCCGTCTCTCCAGTAGCGAGCTCGCTATCAGATTAGGCAATCCGCCTAGGGAGAGCTCGACCTATCCTAGTCCGTAACACGAAGACCTTGCCAGCAATTCGCCCGCAAGTGACGAGGTAAGTTCTCAGTCATTCTACACTACTAGACACACTGGCACATACTGTTCTGCAGAATGATCTCACCTCTTGCTGCACAAGGGCAGTGTTCCAATGCCATGCTAAGCACCCTAAGAAAGTTCTTTCGGGCATTGCAGGACATGATAATGATGTACCTGTCTGTAATCTGGAGCGGGCCACACTTCACCTGCTCGAAGTGCTGACTGGAAGCTCTACTACTCAGGATGATGAGAGATCATCAAGCAAGTATATTCGGGTGTGGCTTGCAGACTGGATCTACGACTGCTGGGTACAGACAATGGTCCTGCTCTCTCCAGGGCCTTCAAATTCTCGTGCAAAAGATTTAATTGACCTCAGAACACACCAGAGCCATACTCCCCAGCCATCTGCTCCTGCCATCTCCATGGCCACCATGTCTTCTGTGGATATCATCGACCTCACCAAGGATGAAGATGTGACTGGTGGTGCGCTCATTGACTTCACACAAGGTGAAGGAGACATAGCAGGGATCATTGATCTCACAGGTGAAGGTGAAGATGCCGAAATCATTGACCTTACTATCTGACTGTTTGTGTAAATGTTTGCTCCAGTATAGTGTAATTGTATGTTGTTCTTCTACGAATATTTTTCGTTTATCTACTCTTGCACTCGGACTCGGACTGTTTCATTATCTCACATCAGAGAAGTGGAAGGACATTGAGGAAACTCGGAGGGTGTTGGCTGAATGCGAGCGGGAGCGTCTGATGAAGGCTAGAGCGGATAATGCGTCGGAGGTGAGTTGGATGAGGTGTTTATGTTTTCCGGAGATTCATAGAGTCTTAGTCCTCCGGTCCGATGGATCCAGAGGTCGCATGCGAGATGTGCGTCACCAGGCGCAAGGCTTGCACCTGGGCAGTAGCGTCCAAAACGCCTAGAGTGAGTGTTTGTTTTATCCGGATCCGGATGATTGCTAATGATTCCGGAAGATCCGGACATGTGACCAATGCCGCGCGTCTAAGGAAAAATGCGTCAGCGGAAATCCGCCTGTCAAGGCGCCGGCCGGCAAAGGCAAAGGCAAGAAATGCGCGCGTCCGGAGGGATCTCCGAGTCCCAAGGGCAAAGGCAAGCGGCGCCAGAGGAGTCCGGAGGACCTTGACGACGACGTGGAGATTATCTCCAGTCCCTGGACAGTTATTGGGGAGGGGCAAGACTGGACGGAGTACGACGACCAGGCCTGGGTCGCGGCCACCAACAATATAGTGGCGGAACTGGCCCGGATGAATGGGCTGATGGAGAGGGGTATTGCAGCGGCGGAGGGAAGTAGAGCTCCGATGGACCGGGTGAGTGAGACCATGCTCCGGTTCATGGAGGAGCAGAGGGAGTTTCAGACTCTCTTCATGGAGAGTCTGAGGGGCGGGTTCCGGATGCATGTAGAGGATGCTCCGGAGGAGGAAAATGCTGAGGAGGCGGAAAAGGAGGCCGGCAGATCCGGTGGAGATATGGAGATGGACTCTTAGGTCGTCGGATCCGAAGTCCGGATATCGGACACCTAAATAAAGTACATATATGCATGTCCTTTTTTACTCTTTGTTAGAAGTTGGTCCCGGCTTTTCCGGATATGCCGAGTGGAAATCCGATAGAAGTTCCGGCGCATTTCCGAGTTCGGTTGCGAGTATCCAGGAAGTTTCTTCGTCCGTCCCTTCATATCCGGCCCAACGTACTAAGTATAGTAGTTGGCAGTGACGTCTCCGGCGGTCGATCTTGGAGTCCAGGATTTCGGAGATTTTGTATTCCAGTTCTCCGTCGACTAATACCGGAGGCGGAGGAGGTTGGATGCGATTAGGAATAGTGTTCGGAGTTGCGGGTTCTAACTGAGAGACATGGAATATGGGGTGCACAGATCGCATAGCGTCCAGAAGATGGATGGTGAAGGAGTGGGTGCCGGGACGAGCGATGATGTGGAATGGTCTGAGATTCTTTTCCGAGAGCTTTTTCGATGGTCGGGTCGAGCGGAAATATTTTGCTTTGACGAAGACCTGATCTCCGACTTTGAAGTCCGGAGCGGGTTTCCGTCTAGCGTCCGCAGGTCCCTGATATCGTTCTTGGGTGTGGGACATTTCTTCTCGGGGGAATTGGTGAAGCTCGTCTAGATCTATGGCATAGTCCCGGGCATGGGTGGATGAGAGATCACGCTCCAGATGTATGGAAATGTTCAGGTGATAACCCTTATTGGCGAAGAATGGTGAAACTCCGGTAGTAGCACTAGGAGCGTTGTTGTAAGCAAACTTGGCCAAGGGTAACAGTTCCAACCAATTATCCTGCTGATAGTTGCAGTAGATCCGGAGGTATTGTTCTAGGGTTTGGTTAGCTTGCTCGGTTTGTCCGTCGCCTTCCGGATGATATCCGGAGGTGAAATGGAGGATCATATCTAACGCTTTTCCGAGCGACCGGAAGAAGTGGGAAACGAATTCCGTACTGCGGTCGGAAGTAACATGAGACGGAACTCCGTGCTTGGAAAACACATGGAGGAGGAATAACCGGGCGAGGTCCGGAGAGGTGATGGTGTCGTAGGTCGGAATGAATATGGATTGCTTGGATAGTCGATCTATGACTACCAGGATGGCTGTGAAGCCGGAGGAATCAGGGAGTTGTTCGATGAAGTCCATGGATATAGAATTCCACGGCTTCTCAGGAATGGGGAGTTGCTTCAACAATCCGTATGGTTTATGCCTCGGAACTTTGGCTCGGGCGCAGGTCGTGCAAGACTTGACATAGTCTTTGACATATGCGCGAATTCCGGGCCAAGTATATTCCCGACGGATAACTTCCAGGGTCCGGTTCTGACCGAAATGTCCGGATAGCGGGTGGTCATGCGTATTCCGGAGCACTCGGAGACGGAGGTCATTGGATTCTGGAACATATATACGGTTGTCGCAACGGAGAAAACCACTCTCGTCCACTGTCCATCTCGGGTCCGACGGACCCGGAAGATGACAGGAAGCGATAGGGTCATTAGAGAGGGCGGACAGAATGTCCTTATGAAGCTGCTCGACATCCATCAGTACAGCTGTCCGGAGCACCGGAATTGCTAGGTGTGATGCCCGGAGGGACGAAGCGAGCTGTTCTGTGGTAAATATCGGCCGGAGATTGTGTGGATTAACTTGAGCATAGTCCTTATCCCCCTCTTTGGGGTAGATGTCCCAACGTCTAGTTAGGCAGTCAGGCTTAGCTCCGAGTTTTCCAGGTCGGAAACGGATAATGAGGTTGGACTGATGGAGGTATTCCGACCAGCGGGCCTGGCGGCGGGTGAGGAGTTTTGTGGTAGCGAAGTACTCAAGGTTCTTGTGGTCCGTGATGACGTCTATCGGCTCGGCAGAGCCTTCAAGGTAGTGTCGCCATGATCAGAAAGCTTCGTAGATAGCTAGGAGTTCCTTATCATGGGTGTCATAGTTGAGTTCCAGAGCCGAAAGGGTCCGGGAGTAAAAAGCAACCGGGTGGAGCTCCTGGTCCAGACATACAATAGAAAGTATTCCGGCGATAGCATAGTCAGAAGCGTCCGTCTCAATGACGATAGGAACATCTGGTATCCAGTGCGTAAGCACCGGAGCGGTAGTGAAGGCTTTCTTGAGAGTTTCAAAGGATTTCCGGCAATCCTCAGAGAAATTCCAGGGAGCATCCTTGCGAGTGAGCCGCGTAAGCGGAACTACAATATCCGAGTAGTTAAAGATGAAGCGACAATAGAAATTTGCGAATCCGAGGAACGATTGAATATCCTTGACTTTCCGAGGTTCCGGCCAGTCGCAGATAGTCTGGACTTTGTCGGAGGACATTGTAAGTCCAGCCGGAGATAGGAGGTAACCGAGGTATTCTACAGAGTCGGAATGGAATTCGCACTTCTCCGGTTTAGCATATAGCCGATGCTTCCGGAGGCGTCGGAGAACTTCAAGGACGTGTTTTTTATGGGATGCAAGGTCTGCGGAATAAATGAGGATGTCGTCGAGATACACAATAACACATATGTCAAGCATATCGGTGAAGATGGTGTTGACAAAGCGCTGGAAAGCCGCTGGAGCATTGGTGAGACCCTCGGGCATAACCAACCATTCATAGGAGCCATAGCGCGTCCGGAAAGCAGTTTTCCACTCGTCTCCTTCCGCCATCCAGACTAGATGGTAAGCGGACCGGAGGTTGATTTTGGTGTAAACTTTAGCGTGGCTCGGAGAATCGAGAAGGTCGGAAATGAGGGGAAGCGGGTAGCGGTCTCTCTTTGTGATTTTATTGAGTCCTCGGAAATCTACACAGAGGCGTAGGGAGCTGTCCTTCTTCTTGACAAACAGGACAGGGGCTCCGTGCGGAGAGGATGAGGAACGGAGAAGTCCGGTCACAATATTCTCATCAAGGAATTTGCGGAGAGCTACAAGCTCAACCGGAGAAAGGGAATAGATGGTGCCAAGGGGCGGAGCCGCTCCTTCTTCCAAATCGATCTTAAGATCATAGGGACGATGGGGAGGGAGCTGTCCGGCTTTGCTTTTATCAAAGACATCCACGTACTCATGATATTCTGAAGGGATTCCGGATAGGTTCGGAGGTTCAGAGGAGAGTGTAGTGGAGCGGAGATTGACACCGGTGGGTCGGACGAAAATACAGAACTGGACTGATCCCTCTAATTTGCAGACCCTGCAAAAGGCAACTGCATTGATTAGGGAAATATTAGGAACAGTGTTATCAGCGGAGGGACTCGGCGAGGTTGAGGAAGGGATTTCCGCCGGAGCTGGCAGAAAAGAGGTCGGAGGGGTCGGAGGCACTCCATGAGGAATCGGACGGAAATCGATGCTGCCCTTTACCCAGTCAATCAACAGATTGTGTCGGGTGAGCCAGCTATATCCTAGAACGATGGAACAGGATGAGTCCAACGGAGTAACATAAAATGTTTCGGAGGTAACCATGCCGGTCGGAAACCGGATCGGTAAATCTACTGCCTCGGTAATAGTGGCATTAGAAGTACCATCAAACAGATGGAGCGGAAGTGGAGGGATTGCATAGGTTGGAATGTTATTTTCTCGGATTAATCTGGTTTCTATAAAACAATGAGACGAGCCACAATCTACAAGAGCCGGAAACGGAGAGATATCGGGAAAAGTAGAAATTGAAACGGATGGTACTAGAGAGTTCGGATCGGAAAAGGAAATAGCATTGAGGCGTAGCTCCATTGCGCGGGTTGAGTCAACGCAACCCTCGTCCCGCGCGGAGTCAGGAGGGTCACAGACTAATTTTTTGTCTCTTCCAAGACCTCCGGTTTGGCTTCCGGAGTCACCGTGCCAGCACGACCTTTGGCCGCATGGGAAGTGGACTTTAGGCAGTCCTGGGCAGTATGACCGGGTCCGCCGCAGAAGAGGCAGAGCTTCTTCTCCATGCGCCTCTGGCGTTCCTCGGAGGTGAGTTTACCATCTTTTCCGAGCTTGGACGTCAAGTCCGGAAGTTTGGCGGAGGAGGAAGCCGAAGCGTTCCCAGATTTTCCGCCGGAGTACTCTTTCCGGTCGGAAGTGGAAGTTGACTGCTTAGCAGGAGGCGCGGATGCGGAGGGTTTGGTTTCGCGGGAGACTTCTCCCTTGCGTTCCCAGTATCGAGCGTCGATAGTCTGGGCGAGAGTTTTGTATTGGGACAGAGTGGTGGGTTTTCCTTGACGACTGATTTCGTCCTTGATGCGAGCCGGAAGTCCATTGTAGAACTGACGGCGCAAAGCTCCATTGCCCCAACCGCGGACTTGGGAAGCTAGCTGCTGGAACTCTACAACATAGTTGTTGATGTGCTGTCCATCGCGCATATAGAGCTGTTCCAGCTGCATTTCCGCATCTCCGACCGGGTCATGAGGTCCGAAGTTAGTTTGGAGTTCTAACATGAACTCGGAGTAGTCATCCATCCAATCCGGACGATCCATTAGATCATCCGAAAGGAGGTCCGGCTCAAACCATTCAAGGGCCATGCCCTTGAGGTATGATTGCGCGAAGTTGACCTTAGTTCGGCCGGTATGGAAAGATTTCGGCTTAGCTTGGAAGTTAAGCTCACATTGGACAAAGAATGCCCGGAGTTTCCGGGGCTCAGTGCCATCGAAGGTATCCGGTTCTCGGACTTTGACTTTAGGGTCACCGGATCCAGAGGATTGGCGGTTGTTACGCGCCAGGTTATTGATGGCTTGGGATAGCCGGAGGAAGACCAAGTCTTGTGGACCTAGACCTTTGTTTTCATCGTCAGTCGGGTCTTCCGGAGGTTCATCATCTGGATCTCCGCCACCTCCTCTCGGCGGGTTACCGCCTAGGGCAAGTTCATCGTCGGAATCATTGTGCGGAAGATTTCCGGCAGGTGTGGGGGTGGGCATAGACGGATGTGGGCAATTCATGAGTTGTGAGATGCTGGAGGCAGTGCCTTGCGCACTAGCACGGCACTGTGAAAAACTGAGGAAGGCATTGACTATGGGAGTAGAGTCGCGTTGGGCGGTTACTACACCTGCTGCATTGAGAGCAGTCTGCGCCCGTGTAGGTGCCATGAAGTCAGATGTAAGTATACTCGGTAAGGTGTGAGTTTGAATATACTGTTAAGAACGTGCTCAAGGGTCGGATCTGAAGGGCTTGGCTTCAGCTCGTGCGCTGCGCCCCTTACCCGAGTATGTGCCCCTAACTTCCGAGGGCTGTCAAACGATGTCCGAAGGTTACCGGACGATGTCCGGAGGGCGTCGGGCGATGTCTGGAGTCCGATGTCCGATGTGCAGGAATTCCGGCAGACGTTCGGAAACAAGAGATAAAACTAATCCGGACGAAGTCCAAACTAGAAAGGAAACAGCGGAGGACTACCAGAGGTAGAGGCGGAGGTGACAAGTCTATAGGAGTCGATCCTAAGATGAGAGAGAAACTCAAGTCGGACGGAGGAGAGAATGAGCAGAGTCTAAGATGATATTCGAACTAAGGATGTACATAGATTCTACAGGGTTTATATACTACTGAGGACTTATCGGAGAACAGAGATGCGCAGTCCGAAGCTATACAAAGCTGTGGACGGAGCGTATAGAAAAGTCAAACACTAGTCTATCGGAAAATAGTAAATGAACCCGGAGATTAGAACAGATGAAAATAAAGGCAGAAATGAAATGAGGTACAGAAAATGATATAGTCTAACTGGAGTAGGAACGTACAAAGGGATAAGGCACAGAAGTTAGACGCGGGTCGGATCCGGACATAGATAGACGTTGGCTGGATCCGGACTTCCGGAAATGATGTGTGTGATAGGTCCGGGTCCGGAATGCGGGATATGACAGTGATCCATTGTGTGTTGAAGGCATTCAGGATACATTGCATGGGCTTGACCATCCAATGGTCTCTTGTAGACACGTGGTGGCCTCTTTTGACCTCTGGCCACTGGTCACCATCATAGCAGAAGACGAGTTGCACCGGTGTAGGACTGGAAGTCCTTACAGCCTCGTAGAGGCTATTTTGCAGTGTCCCTCAGCATCCTATTGCTTTACTATATGAAGCGCAGCTTTCCCGCGAGCCGCGCTTAGCGGCTGCTACTTTCCTGTGACGGCTGCAGTGTTCCCGCTCGCGCGCACAGCCGCACTTTTCTCGCGCTTCATCGGCCGACGTTCCGCATCCATCCATAGTCCAAAACCAACCCAATGGTATGTTATTCCATGATTATATTTACATATCAGACCATTTCTGCATTGCACCACCTTTATTTCGTCATAGACATATAGCTTTACATACCCTACTCGGTAGCGCGTGGGCTCGGCTCTGCATGACAGCGCTTAGCACAATACTTAAACACTAGCAGTACATATCATTCAGTAGCTTGTTTTCCGGACATTCCAGTAGCAACTCCCATTAGCCTACAGTTAGTAGCTATTGGCAATCCATATCCGTTTACTGCTTGCACCGCGTCCGTTATCGTCCACTTTACATCTATTTCTATTGTCTATCTTCTCTATCATCATCCGAACCACTCGTGCATCGGCCGCTTCGCAGCTGCATTCTTCCCGCGCCTTCGGCTTTCGGCCGCCGCTTTGTTCCCGTGTGCGCACCCGCCGCTTTCCCGCGCTTTGCATCGGCCGCTAAGCAGCACCTTCTGTGCTCATTTCTAGACCTTTGCTGCACTAGCTTCCCCTTTAGGGTCAAACGCACTTGTCCTGCAAGTATAGCAGACTAGGTGTTGGATGACCTACAACATAAAGATATTGGTTTGGAGCCTATAGCACCACACTGAGTTGTAAACCTACACCGGGAATTGCGCAAGCCAAGCCAGGCGAAATAGAAAGGTCTGGAGGGCAGGATTCATTCCAGTCTGAGCGTGTGCACGCTGCCATTTGCCTTGTTGGCACTGTTCAAACCATCCACTGCACATGTAGCAGTGATAATTATTAGCATCAAATGCAGACACACCCAACATGCGACCACTGACCTTGCATCAATGCCCACGACGTAGGACAGGTGAGGGGCGGGTTCTGCATATCGATCCGAGAGGGCGAGGGACACGATGGGCACTGTTGTCGTGGCAGGCTCGAGCACCTGTGAAGCCAGAGCATGAGGTCTCTGTCCAAGTGAAATACTAGCAGGGCAGTACATAGTACATACCTCCCATAAATGATTAACACCCATCGCGGTACCGGAGAAGGACGAGCTGCAGCTGTTGTATTTGCAAGAGAGATAGTTGTGTGCTGTGGCTGTGGATGTTGAGGAGGAGGATGAGGAGAGGACAATGTGGTAGGGCATACCTGTATTATCAATCGAGTGGCTATGCTGCAGCCGCCATGACTGCAAAGCTGAGGACTGTCAATTTGAAGTCCATCAGCCTGACAGTCGTTTTTTCGTGAAGGAAAAGACAAGTACTCACCAAAACCTCAGCTCCGTCCAGACGGTAGATTGATGGTCTGATGTGGGAAATTTGCAGTCAGTTCGGCATCTTCCTGGATGCATTGGACTTTGGCTCACCCAGTCATTAATCCAGATCCCTTCACCTCGCCCAGCAGTGGCTCAAGCTCTTCAGCGGCTCAGAAACACCCCATTCTTTCTTCCGTCTATGACGTTGATCACACGTCTCCTCCTGCGGTCCTTTTTTCTCCGTCGCCGAGCTGGTTCCTGCAACTGCCTGGGGTCGTGTCATCCTCAGTTTGGGTGTCGCATGGCATGGTGGCGGTGTTGCTTGCATAAGCCTGTGCGTGATCGTCAATTTGCTCGTGATCAGCTCTTCTTCATGTGTCCTTGGCCCTTGGGTACTATCGATCAACAGAATGTGTGTTTATATTTGGCCAACGTATTATTAATCAAAACCACATGACTGATGGAATATTGAACCTAGTAGTAGTGACATCAACTTGAAGTAGATGCGAAACAGGTTTCATTCTACAGGCAGACTACGACATTGAACTATTACTGGCCATGGTGGGTTGCAAGCAGCTGCCTACTAGCATACCTGGTGTGAGAGCTCAACGACTTGTTATCAATGCATCCTATGTCGCTGCAACATATACGTACCTCGCGCTCACAACGTTTGGTCTTGCCTTGTTACTTGGCTGCACACTGCATTACAAAAAATTGTGAAGAACGGGGTTGCTGGATACCCTGACGAGTGGTTTCCGTCAGTATCAGCCATGTATGTACATTCAAGTTCTGTTCGCTCGAATATTGAACCCGATATGCTTGTACCAGTACCACAGTATCAGTGACTGGTACCCCGAGTGTAATATTTTTTAGATTCTCATCGCTTTGACATCTGGTCAGTTAGCTGCTGTTGCTTGTGAGGCTTGTTTGTGATGGTCACACACAGGTCCACACTTTGCCCTTGTATCTTTGCAGTATTTCCTGAGGTGCTTGCCAAACACCAGTTTTCCGGGTTTCTTGTTTGTTGTAGGTATCGTTCGGACATTGATGTGCAGTGGTTGGGTATATATCATGTCCAACGATGACCATGACATGCATGATGTTCTCATGGTTACATATATCCTGTGCAACATGCCATGGATGTGGGGAGGTGTTCTATGTACTCCAATTGGGCATGTAAAAGTGTGTTGGCAATGGTGAGAATTATCTGAGATACATGCATGCATGTACTGACCAATAATCTACAGCTGCTATGTTGCAACAGGGTTAGTCAAAATATTGAGCCTCATAGCATACACACATGCAGCTTATTTTCTGAGAATAGGTTCTTCGTATCAATCATACCCATGATTTATTTCTTCATTCAGCACAAGATATACCAGATTCCTGGAGATCATAGCTGATTTTCTCAGTGCAGCTAGGGCTGACAATTGTGATCAATCTAGCATATACCCACTATTCATTTTTTGAGTGGTCCTTGATCTTGCTCAATGTTCTATTTGACTTGATCACAGAGCTTGACTTCAAAGCTTCTAATTACAGGTAAATATGAGCAGGCATATCTTAGGTGCTTGGTATTAACTTTTCAATATCCCCCAGATTGTACTCAGTGTTTCATTGGATGCCAGTGTTGGATGTGATAACATGTATAACCAACGACACCATCTTGTATGACCAATGTCTGATGTACTACATAGATTGCCTTTAGTGCCATCCAAAGGGACAAGTAGTGTGACTGAAACCAAACCAGAAGGGTTAGCCGTGTCGTCAAAGAATGAGCAAACAGTCAGCCATGTATCAGAAACTGTGCCTCAAACATTTTTTCAGAAAATGCAGGCTGCACTTACGCTCTCTCAAGATGCACGAGCAGTCATAGGTTTCATCTCAGATGTGTACTTGTGTACGTGTCCTAGTTTAACAGATTACACAGTCATCAAATTTACCACCTTTACAGCTTACTTGTTTTGGTCCATCTTCACGTCCCTCATCACTACCCTGTTCTATTTCTCTGTCTGGCAACTTGCACTTTCAGGCTTGGAGTTATCTTTGCTCGTTCTGCTCTCCTCTGCACTTTTGGGCATCAGGCCGTTGTGCACTTGGGCGCTTACGTGCAGTGGTCAGGTCATGTTAAGGGTGGTGGTGATTTTGACAGGCTCAGGGTCTTATGCCTTGAAGAGCCCCATGCAAAGGTTGATTGTAGTCAACTTTGCGAATATGGTGCTCCTGGTAGGGCAGACCACCAACTGGTCAGCTGGGAAGGATGGATATCAGGGTTTGCGACATAGTCCTTGGTCTAGAACTTGTATTACTTTCTCTAGCAAAACATGTGAATCACTCAACAAATCCTAGTATGTCATTTCAAATTTGTTGTGCTTTCAGTCCCTCTAACTACTTCGAAGTATGGCCAATGCTCAATGAAGAGTCTGGAGGATACAACAAAACAGGCCTTTTCTAGCATTTTGCGTGCTATATGAACTTGCCACCCGCCCGTCCACCATTCCAGAGGAAGAAAAGCAAATAAGTGGTTCAAAAGATAGCAGCACGGTTGCTTCACATGGATGGCTTGCAAGTTCCATTGCGCTCGGCAGCATGATTTTTATTCTCCATTGCTTCTTCATAGACCCCAGTACTAGCATTATGTGGTCCTGAACAGGATACAAAGACAGCCAACCTGAGGGCCCTCTGCCACATCTTCACGGCTCTCTCACTTTGATTGCACAGGCTATAGGTCTTGCATTGCCCACGATCCTCCCTGCATGCTGGCTTATCAATCCATTATGGTTCAGCTATGGCTGCACAAGTGCATTCGTGATGTACCGCTTCAGGGACTGGATGGGCTTTGTTGGTGGGCTGAACCTGGCTGTGTTTGTTATGTTATTGCTCCCTACTATCATTCGACAATCTGCCCAGCCAAATAAGTCTGGAAGGACATATACATATTTCACAGCATTCTTTGTTATGATTCTTTTCTACCTTGCCGATGTGTGGACAGTCACCTACACGTCCATGCCAGGGGGTGTGTACCTGCGTGAGTGCTCAGACTTGTAAGTTCTTTGTGAAAACACTTGTCTTTGTCGCTGAAATACTTTATCACAAGGGTCCTTGTTACACAATTTGTCACAACATCATTGGTGTTTGAATGGCCATCAAGAAAAAAGGACTGCAGCCAATTCCATAGTTCATATTCTAAGCTCGACGAGCTTCCTTGTTCGTCATCTCCTTACACTTTTCTTGCTGTCTGCTGTCCTTGTAACAATATACCGCTGGACTCCTGTTGGACCAAGACCTTATAAATTGGGCACAGGGATAATCAATGCTGGAATATGGACAGTGCATTTTGGTATCGACAATATCGGGCACGACAGCCAGAGGTTGATCTGAGATATGATAAGGTGAGGCAATTTAATCAAGGTCCTTTACTGCTGACATTGCTATAAAGAGATATGAAACTTGACGTAGTTGGCCTTCTGGAGACTGATCTACATGTGAATTATAATGCCAATCAATGAGCTGCTGGTATGCTAATTAGTTGTAGCGGACAGTTTATGGAAATTGTGACTTGTGAGTGTGCTGTATCCTCTGGATGAGCTCGGCTCACCCTCTTATATCAGGATGCGAGTCGCTCTCCAAGACCTTGGATATGTGAGTTTTCCTTCAGTGCAGCCATGCAGGGAAATGACCACACCAAACTTGAGTATGTCGATTTGGGCCCAGGCCCTAACATACATACATGGGGTGCTGCTCTACTTTTGAAGGTTAGTGTGAAATGACTCTTTTCCAATCATGCTTACCCCCCTTAGTTCCCTATTATTCACTTGCAACACCACCTCCTACCATCACCCCATGGTGAGCTCGTGCCAGCAATCAAAGCTGTGCTTGATGTGTATGGGTCAGAGGTAGCTGTAGTTGTATCACATAACGGTCAAGGTACATTCGGCACACTTTCTTTCTTAGTCAATTGTTCTTATGTTTTTCATCTAGAGCAAGACCCGCTCGACTGTAAATTGCAAAGCAAGGAGCTCGCATGCATCATGGCAAAGTCCTACCCTCACCTCATTATTTTCCTTGGATATGTAGTCACGAAACCACATATCAGTAGATGTGTGTGGCTTCCATGTCTTATATTTATTTCAGTCCTGATGAATCCTACAGCAGCGCCCTATGAGATTTTGGTGTATGATGGTATTGTACATGACATCGACCCACAGGACGGGGATCATTGGTGGGTGCTCTCTCAATATGCTGCCAGCCAATGATAATAAAATGCAGGTGTGAGTATATTTTGTACAGAGAGCTTTACCGGACTGTGTATGCTCGTATCTCATGAGGCATCATTACCGATACAGAGCTACAGATTGGACAGTTTGTCGTTCCCTGACATGGCTTCCAGCTTTGCGACCTGAGTATTGTCTCCTGGCTACTTCGTGTTGCTGACTGCATGACAGTGGTTCCCAATGGAATACTATGGCAACAACAATGAGGGAGGTATGAATGGGCATTTTTACCATGTGTTTGACACTGTGAGGCTTCAGCCCATTACAGGCACTGATATGACATACTAATATTATGCTGATAGCCGCTATATTATAAATTACCTGAGAGTGCACAGGTTTAGGAGTGTACCAGTGTGGTTGTCATCTGTATTGTTATTTTGTTGTGGTTTTTGCACCTGGACCTACATATGTGAAAGTTTAGGAAAAAAAATCAAACCATAATTATCTGTCATGCTTATACAGTACACTATCTCATACTGTATAGCGATGGGAGTGGCCTATCTGCTATACAATATGAGATATATACACTATCAAATAATTTCCATAGAGGGGGTCAACCAATATTGGGGGTGTCAATGTAGCAAAAAGGCAAGTACATTGAAATCATGTATTACTACTTGGGATTCCAGAATCTGTCTAATGTAGCCTGCTTTGCATTCTGCAATTCCTTGTGCTGTAGTGTTGCTCGGAATGTATAAAGCTTGTAAATAAGGTCAAGTGACAAACCAGCGCCAGCTTGTGCAATATATGTCATCTCAAGCTTTTCAGAGAGTGGAATTAGTTCTGCAACACAGACCCTGGATTGATCATTGTCATTGTCATTAGAGGGAATCAAACATACCGATGTAATGCTCGGGCTCACATTGGGCCCATATCAGGCTATTTTATGAAGCATGTCAATGTCATTTCATCCAACCATATTTCTAGCTGTCCAATCAGACATTCATCATACCTAAGCATCAGGTTCATCAGGTTTTGCATTGGACATCAGGTTTCATATTGGCATATCAGAAAATGTCCTCCCTATGTCATGTCCTGTCATATCTATCCCTACTAGGTGTGCAGTTATTCATTTTCACGTCACTAACATTGTAGTCTGCATTATTACATGTCTGCAGTACCACATGTCTTATTATATAGGACATCAGACCCGAAAATTATTGCTACTACTTTCGCTATAGCCTTCTGAAATTCTACATAGACACTATATATTTCACATACCTCCTACCTATTACTTACTTACCTTTCTACCTCCAAGTAGGAGGTCATCCAATATTAGTAGTTCTTTATTGAATTCCACAAATATCATCCTTTCTTTATCTGAAACAGCCCAAAACATCTGATAGTAACATGACATTTGCTATTCCTGACATAACCCAACATAACCCTACATAACATGACACCTAACCTGACCTGAAAACATCTGACCTCACATTTTTGTCTTCAGTGTAGAGACTGATATCTCTGTGGCCTCATAGAGGTCTAATTCCCCAACGTCCCAATCACCTTCCAAGTACAGCGCAACTCATATCTTGTTTCTGTGCACTTGGTGCTCCTTTAGCTGCTCGAGTGCACAAGTGCTTTGGATGTGCATCGGTACATGCATCCTTGGTTCTGTCACTCGTCCTCCATCCATCCATTCCATGTCTGTTCTGTTTGTCGGTGCGTATTCCTATTATATCCCATACACTCTGACATATCTCTGGTGCTTGCACACACATTCCATATCTTGTGTTACAGACCCTTATTACATGTTATCACGTGCTCACTTCATCTCCTGGTTCGCTTAAGTGTTACTTACATAGAATATATATACTTCTGCCTCTCTATACAATGATTATCTTTCTTCCCACACATCATTGGACTCTAAGTCTAAATCTCCGTTGTAACTGCCAACCAACACTAATCGGGTCAAACACACTTGTCTTGCAAGTATAGCAGACTAGGCTGTGCAAGACCACAACATTTATATTTTGCTGGGTACTTACTTTGTGTAGTGTTCAGCAATAGTTGTATCATTACACTGATTCTCACACTGATTTTTGAAGTCAAATTTCAGCTTGATTCTGTGACCTGAATCGATGTCAACTTTGAATACCCCTGATTCTACTTGCAACTTTGCCTCTGAATCATGTGTGATTCTCATCCATAGCACACTCTTACTAATTGGTAGATAACATATTATTATTTCAATTGGATCTTTTTATCACATAGCATAATTCTATGACTAAATGTAGTTACCTATATGGACTCAATCAAATCTAGTGATGTCAACAAAAGTAGCATCAGCCAGTTGTATGTGTTTGGTTCGTAGGGCTTAAGGCCTAGACTGCAAGAATTGCACTCTTCCATTACATATACTATCGTTCCATGGGAAATGCACAATTTTCACTCATTGCTAAATAACAACACAACAACAACACATATTCATATCGGATCTACTGTAGTGTATACCTTAGGTCTCTGTACATTAGGCCCAACAAGAATTTTTTTATTTCATTGTGAGCTCATTGCAGCGGCAGCACTGGAAGTTGAGATGTCGAAAAACAATAGAAATGCACAATTTTGTCACACTATGTCACGTGCGGCACCTTGGCCATTACACAATTGTATCGAAAGTCCGACAGTGCTCATGACGAAGAATTCACGCCATTTAATTAATGCCGAATGCAAACAAAGTGGAGACTCAATCAGGCCAAGAGCGTGATTTCCTGATCTAGCCTGACTGTCACGGTTTGCTCATGAATCGTGAATGGCACGCTGTGGTGGTGTTCTATTGACATAGAAACACCTGGAGTAGATTCAAAATGGTGTATTTTATATATATTGAAGTTCCTATGTTGCTAAGTTGATGGGATCTGGGTGGATCTTGACTTTTAGTGTCTGAAAATCACTCATTTTGAGTACACTTGCGCAATGTTTCATCTCAGGAAGGCTCCACAGCGTCGATTTTAAAATTTTGATTTGGTACACCTATTGAATATATGCTAATACTTGTACTCCAGCTGTTCCTAATGAAATATATGTAGAGTTGTGAGCTCTGGAGTGCATTGTGCATTACCTATTGATTGTGCATTCCGCATTGGGTCATAGTATAGCATACATAGTTAAACCTTTGTTTGTTTAAGGCTGGTCATGAGTCCATAAAAAGGCTATTGCAGCCTGCCCTTATTGCAAGGGCATGGACCATTTGCTCCAGTTAAAATAGCTTAAAAGGAAGAGTGCCTATGTAGAACTAGAAGTACAAGTGGTCAGGGCAGCGTTCAAGCCCCCTGATCAGATCTTTCACAGGATTGAAATCGCTGCCCTCTGCTTTACTAACCCCTCCCTCCCATTGTAGCAGTGCCCTATCTTAGGAGAAGCTGGACTGCAGCACATGTACAAAGGGGTGGTCTGCCTAGTACACTACTAGTTGTAGACTTAAAATCTATGCCCACCTTGCAGCAGAGGCCTCATTTCTCGGCACCCTTCTCAGGGGGCCTAGATCACCATGAAGACATCAGAGTCATGGCCCACTATACCCCATGTCAGCAATATGCCCACTGGCTGTTATATGCCTTTCTACACTAAGTATAGAATTGTGTGGCAATTACCCAAAGACCCGCTCACTGGCTTGCCAGAATTACCACCTCATCCCCCAGATTTTATCCCAGGTACCTGCTTGACGCAAGAAAGAGCCGACAAGCTCGATCTTGATCCCGCCAAATGGCTATGGCCAGAAGAACTCAAGTTAGTCCGCTGGCTCGTCCGCATGCACAAACTCGCCTTCGCTTGGTGTGCCGCCGAACATGGTCGCCTTGACGAAAAATATTTTCTGCCGTACAAGATACCTACGGTGCCACATATGCCTTGGAATCAGTGCAACATCCCAATCCCGCCAGCAATTGTCAGCGAAGTCATCCGCATTATCAAGGAAAAGATCTCTTCGGGCGTATATGAGCCGTCAACGGCTGCATACCACTCAAGATGGTTTTGCGTCATAAAGAAGGACAGAAAGTCGCTATGGCTAGTCCATGATTTACAGCCACTTAACAAGGTAACAATCCGTGACGCATCCTTACCACCGTTCGTCGAGCACTTAGCCGCCGCCTTTGCGGGCTATGCGATATACGTGATTCTTGACTTGTATGCAGGTTACGATCAGCATGCGCTTCATATTGATTCCCGCGATCTGATGACCTTTGGGATGCCGCTTGGCCCTCATCGGCTAACCACATTGCCGCAGGGACACGCTAATGCCATACAAGTATATCAGGGTGATACCGCTTTTATTTTGCAGCACGAGATCCCAGAGTTCACATCGCCGTTCATTGATGACGTACCAATCAAATCAGTCAAGACGCACTACCAAAACGCCGACAGCACTTACGAGACAATACCCGAAAATGCTGGCATCCGCTGCTTTGTTTGGGAACATCTCATAGTGGTCAATCGCATTCTGCAATGGCTAGAAAAGGTCGGCGCAATGGTATCGGCGACAAAGTTTGTATTAGCCATGCCATCAGTGGTCATTGTCGGACACAAATGCACATTCAATGGGTGAGTCCCGGAAGACTCAAAAGTTGAAAAGATTCGTAATTGGCCAGAGCCGAAGATGCAGGTGCAAGTATGCAGATTCTTGGGTACATGTGGTGTCCTCCACATATTTATCCGTGATTTTGCGTGCATCGCACGGCCGCTTGTTAACCTCACCAGGAAAGATGTACTGTTTGAATTTGAAGATGAACATCGCGAGGCAATGGATTTACTCAAAGCCGCAATCATCAATTCGCTGGCTTTGCGGCCTATCGATCATGAAAGCGGCCGTGAAGTTATCCTGTTGGTCGACACATCCACCATTGCCATTGGCTATATCTTGCTTCAAGTCGGCGAGGATGGCAAGTGCTACCCAAACCGCTTCGGCTCGATTATGCTCAACGACGTCGAAAGCCGCTATTCTCAAGCAAAGCTAGAACTATACGGACTATTCCGCACATTGTGCGCCATGCACATTTTCATCTTTGGTGTCACCAACCTTACGGTTGAAGTAGACGCAAAGTACATTAAAGGTATGATCAACAATCCAGATTTGCAGCCCAATGAGACCACAAATCGGTGGATCATGGGTATACTCCTATTCCCTATCAATCTTGTTCATGTACCCGCTGCAAAGCATAGAGGCGCTGATGGTCTCTCAAGGAGACTGGCTGCCGAAGATGATGTCCCAGAAGTAGACGATCATGAGGATTGGCTAGACCAAGCCTACTCGTTCGGTCTGACCTTGCTTAATGACCGCGCATTCACAATAGAAGCCGCTGGAGCTCATATTACATGGGAAGCGCGCCTCGCGCTGACCATGACCCCACCATATCGCTTACCTGTTTTCTGAGCATTTCTAGATGTCGCTATATCCCCACCCAACAAACAAATCATTCCCCGGTCAGAAGCCACAATAGTGCTTCCTCATAATGCAAAAGCATCCGCTGGATTTGCCCGACGAAGAATGAAGCGCGTTTGTCAACCACACTGCGCGTTACTTTGTACTGGACGGTAACTTATGGCGCCGCAAGTGTCACGGCAAGCGTCAGCTCATCTTAGCGCCGCTGAGATGCTATAACATTCTCAAACAAGCACACAACGACTTAGGTCACAAGGGAGTATACGCGGTCCATGTTTGGCCAATCTTACGTTTCTGGTGGCTGTCTATGATGGACAATATCAAATGGTATGCACGTACATGTCACAAATGCCAGATCAGGCAGACACGCAAGCTTCATATTTCGCCGATGGTGCTGACGCCCGGTGGCTTGTTCCGCCAAGTGCATATCAATACGATGAAGATGCCCCAAGTGGGTGGATTGGAATATCTTGTGCAGGCGCATTGTGCGCTAATGTCATACCCGGAATGGCGCATGTTGCGCAAGGAAAATACCAAGTTGCTTACAGCTTTTATTTTTGAGGAAATTCTTTGCCGATGGGGTCCTGTGACAGAGATCATTACTGACAATGCACCCACCTATAGATTTGCCACCAATATGTTAGCAGAAAAGTATGATGTTCACCCAATCTGTATTTCGCCATATAATTCACAAGCAAATGGCATAGTTGAGCGGCAGCATCACAATGTCCACAAAGCTATCATGAAGACATGCGACGGCGATGATTTGCAATGGCACCAAGTAGCTCATTCCATGTTTTGGGCCGAGCGCGTTACCATTCACAAGTCTACAGGTTTATCGCCCTACTTTATGGTGCACGACATCGAGCTGATATTTCCTTTTGATCTTGCTGAAGCAACCTTTCTAGCGCCGATGCCGGTGCGTGGCATTGTGTGCGAGGAATGATAGCTAGATGAGAAGGGGTGAAAGGGGAAGAAAGTGGGAAGTGGGGTAATACTCAAATAGACCTCTGGATGCGAGTATGTGATTCAGCCCAAGGGGATTGCTACTGAGAACAATTCCTCTATGTAAAAATGGAGAGAAATCACTGAAACTAATAAGGGGGGTTGAGAATGGATGGAGCGTGAGGACTAGTGCAATGCAATGCGAGCATGAGCGAGCCGCCGTTGATGCGGCGTGAAGCGAGTTTTGAGCGGCCGAAGATATGTTGACGTGTGGCCATGCAGAATAGATATGTGGGTGCCACGAAGCGTTAAAGCGAAGCAGCACGACGGCGAATTTGTAAGTAGCGCGAAGGCTGACAAAACAGGGAATCGAAAGGATAACACGGCTGTTAGATAGACACGCGCGGCGGTTGATGCAAAGTTTAGATTTCAAGTTTGGACGTTAATGCATGCAAGTGGAGGATAGATTCTTATGTGGGAACAAAGAAAATTCCATGAAAATTCCTAAGTACAAGTATATATGAGAGCGCGCCAAAGTGCTATTCGGAGCCAAGTAGGTAGCATTAATAGGTAATAAGGGTCCATGACGAGTGTAATAGGGATATAAACGATATAGCGTCAGGAATATGATCAGTCTAATGCAAATCAAGTAAGATACGCACCGATAGACAAGCGGAGGACATGGATAGGACGGGAAAAGGACACGCGATGGAGCCAAAGAAAGGCCGATGTGAGCCGATACACGCGCGCGAGCCACAGCTGTCGGCTGATAGCAAAAAAGATGCACACCGTGTTAGCATTAGTGTGCACAATGCGAGGACCTATGGGACGCTGCAAAAATAGCCCTTACAAGGCCACCAGGACTCTAAGTCCTACAGCGTATTTACCACCGCTGACCTTATAGCATGGCACGCGCCAATTACAGAAGCGCATGGAGGATCTTGAAGAAATCTGGGATAAGGTAGTAAAGGCACACTTCACGTCAGTATGCGACTTTGAAAAGCACTTCTGCAATACCATCTGAGACTATGACCATGCGCCCGGCACTTTAGTGTTGGTGCGCAACTCCAAGGTCGAGTACAAGTTGAGCAAGAAAACGAAGCTGCGGTACTTGGGACCTATGATCGTAGTGCACCGCACGAAGAGAGGCTCATATATTCTGGCCAAGTTGGATGTCGCTATCTCACTACTACGCTACACGGTGTTTCGCGTTATCCCATCCGCGCAACGGCGAGCGTGTCATGGTAACTAGCATCACTGGCAAAGATGACGACACATTAGATCGGCTAGCCGAAGAAGATATAGAAGAGCCAGATGAAGATGAACCAGAACACGTGCAAGATGATTAGCACGTAAATACCCCCTTTCTGGACATCAACCGACACTCTACCCATAAATAGCCGCCTTCACATCAAAAACTATGAAAACACCAAAAACATCAAATATTAAGAATACTGCAAAAATATATGCTACCGTACATCCTCTCTGTTTTACCCCAGGTTTCGGCTGGTGATCAATTTCTTTCATTTTCTCATATCGACCGCACATAAATGCATTGACCACATATATTCAACAGACTCTACCATTATCGCACCACAAGCCGCAAATTAATAACTAAGTATATATATCACACATATCTCCGCAATAGACGCGCGCGCATAACCAACCCCCTAGACTTTTCTCTTTCTAATGCACGCTGCCGCGCCGCACACATTTTACTAAGCTTAATATTTCTTCACTAATCAGCCACATCATCAGCGGCAACAGCAGGGATAGATGCGAAAGCCATACAAAGAATACAAGTCAGGCGCGCAACCCGCAAAACTTCCATATCATGATTTTCATTGTTCTCGTGCCACCACACCTAATTACTTACTACTAAATTATTTTGCCTTTAGCCCGATAGACTTAGCAGATCAGGACATGGGATGGGGATATAGGCGTGCAGATGGACAGCTCCCAGAATTCACACTATCAGGAATGCCGGAACACTATTCTATTTTGCGCTTCAAGCGCAGGTGTTTCTACTATAAGTACAAGATGACACAGACACTATTCTAATCTTGCCTAGTTGAACAATTCGGCAATCTCTAACTCTAAGGTGCGCCAGCTGCGCGCCGACACAAAAGCCTTGTTAGACGCAAGGAGTCACTCAGCCTCTTGCGCCCGCACATGTTGGCGCGCATGGATGAGGGTGTCGCCGTACCATTCCATATGAATGCGCAATTCCTCGTTCTCCTCCCAAAGAGACACAACCTCAAGCTGCAAGGCTTCTAACTCCTCGCGTTCTGAGGCGTCCAACTTGCACTTTGGAGCAGGTGTGGGCTGCTTTGGGAGCGGCAAGACAGGACACGGCAGGATAGTCTTGGACCCACGGACGAAGTCTTCCTCACCTGCAACATCTCCTATGCGCTTCTCACCCGATTCGTCTTGAATCTCCACCTGCATCTCCACCTCTGACTCATCGCCTGAAGTATCCGCGTTGTTAGCGATAGTGGTCACCGGGTACGGTCGGCCTGGCCGAACTCATTGATTTGGTGCGCACCTTCTTGGTAGGGACAGTACCACACGGCGGTGCAGTACACGTTTCTAGCCTGCAGCTTGGTCTTCGCCGGTTTCGGCTTTGCATCTGCCTTTTCTGAAAATAATGCATTAGCCAACTGCAACAAGAAAACTAGTAAGGTTATGAGGTACTTACTTGAAAAGGAACACACCTGCTTTACGCCAATGCAGTAAGAACATCTGATGCCAGGTGAGCCATCGCACACGCCGGGACGATTGCGGCAGCACATGCATTTCTCCTTAGTGACGGACATACGACTGCCGAATCACTAAAAAAAGAAGTTAGCCAATCCCCAGAAAGAAACAAAGATGGGAGTACTTACTGGTACACCCATATCGGCGACCTCCTTGGAAGGCACAGCATCGACCAAAGCTGTCTTCTCCACGACCGCCGGTTCACCTACATTGTTAGTGGGCACGACAGACTTTTCACGCAGCAGCTTGACGGCCTTCACCTTCCATCCCTTCACCAACTTCTCCAGCTTCTGGTACTCCTTCTTACTGTCTTCTAGAGCTTTGGCGCCTTGCGCATCCAAAGTCAGTTCGACCTGCGCGTTCTGCATGTGGCCAAAGCACTCATTCATTTGTTCCTATCAGCGGCATTAGCACACACAAGGTGAAAATAAGACAAAGAGAAAACACTCACCAATACAGTATGCCAATCACGCATCCAAGACTCTTGCTCCTCAAGGAGTTCTTCCTTGGCATCTGGCACTGTCAGCGTGCAGGATCACAATGTTTCGCAGATCAGGCTCCACACGTGGTGGATGCGATCAGCATCCGATTCCTCCGGAATGGGGTTGTCCACCATTGGTTGGTTGTGAGTAGGTGACGGTGGAGTTTCTGGCTCAGGGGAGGCGGTCAACATAGCAGGGTTGAAGCAAGACATGGTAGAGTGGCGAGAATTATTGATGAAGTGATTGATGAAGATGAAGAAGAAGAAGCACAACACGCGACACATTTTAATACATCAAAATGGCCACAGTTCCCACGGTCAACGGTCCACAACCTGCGGTTCATTTTGTTCTCCACATATGGTGTGAAACGCGCACGGTCACGTGACTTATCTCATCGAAATTTTGCTAAGTCCCTTCGCTCTATAGAGGCTGACTGGGGACAGTCAGAATTCAAAGTTTATATGTGATGTAGGACTTAGAGTCCTTGTGGCTGTTAAGACCGTGCACAAAGGGTAGGACTGATTCCAAGGGGCTTGGCTTCAGCTCGTGCGCTGCGCCCCTTACCCGAGTATGTGCCCTTAACTTCAGAATGAAGTCCGGAGAAAGTCCAGTGAAGTCCGAAGGACTTCCGGAGAAGCATGGGAAACTTCGGAAGGACTTTACGGACGAGTGCGAGAAACTTCCAGATGAGTGCAGGAAAGTTCCGGAGGAACTTCTGGAAATTACGATGGAGTTTTGTCCTGACAGAGATATGTGTAATGGCTACTCAGGACTCGTCCTGAGTAGAAGGAAACAGAGGAAAGGCTGCAAGGACAAAGTCCGAAGCAGAATAGGTCCGGAGGACCACGGGAAAGTTCCGGAGGAACTTCCGGAAACTTGGAGGAATGGTGGATCAGAGGAGTGGAGGAGTGGAGGAGCGGAGGAGCGGAGGAGCGGAGGAGCGGAGGAGCGGAGGAGCGGAGGAGCGGAGGAGCGGAGGAGCGGAGGAGCGGAGGAGCGGAGGAGCGGAGGAGCGGAGGAGCGGAGGAGCGGAGGAGCGGAGGAGCGGAGGAGCGGAGGAGCGGAGGAGCGGAGGAGCGGAGGAGCGGAGGAGCGGAGGAGCGGAGGAGCGGAGGAGCGGAGGATCGGAGCTCCAGCCTAGGGAATTCCTCCCTAGGCCTGAGATGGATAATTACTAAGTCGGAGGACTAGAACTGTTACAAGGACTTAGCGTGAAGGCTAGTGCGAGGACTAATATGTGTAATATTCAGACTGAGGAAGTATAGAGACTTTACAGGGTTTATATACTACAAAGGACATAACGGAGAATCAGTCAGCACAGTCCAAAGCTATGTGAGGCTGTGGACGGAGGGTATAGAAAAGTCAAACACTAGTCTATCGGAAAATAGTAAATGAAGACGGAGATGAGGACATAGGAAAATAAAGCCGGAAATGAAATGAGGTATGGAAAATGAGTAAGTCTAACTCGAGAAGGAACGTACAAAGGGATAAGGCACGGAAGATAGACGTGGGTCGGATCCAGATGTTTGGAAGTCCAGAGACAGGTGATTACCATAAGGGGATGGGCGCTGATTTAAGGTTTGAGGTCGGACATGACAGATAGGTCAGATCCGGAGATCCGGAGATGTGGATATCAGATCTGGCATCCAGATATCAGATGCAGGAGTACAGGGATCCGGACAGATAGAGGATTGGGTCTGGAGACATGGACAGGAGGTCCGGAGGTCCGGATGAGGCGTGGGAACATCGTCGGATGTTGGTTCAGAATGTGGGATATGACAGTGGCCTTGTAAAGGCTATTTTTGCAGTGTCCCAAAGGTCCTTGCATTGTGCGCACTAACGCTAACACAGCACGCATCTTTTCCGCTATTGGCCGATTGCCGCAGTGTAGAAACAACAATACCGAGAGGAGCAAAAGAAGATGGCTCCAAACTGATATATTTGTGTTGTGGTCTTTGCACTGCCTAGTCTGCTATACTTGCCTGACAAGTGCGTTCGACCCAGGGGTCTGCGGTCTGGGAATAGTCTTGGGGGTAAGTGAGTGATGTGGAGTCAATAGTCCGAGCGCGGGAAACAATGTCCAAAGGTATAATTACAATGTCCGATGCAAAAGCGTCGGGTCCGATGTTTTCGGGGTTTCGGGTTATCGGGTTCGGGTTCGGGGTGTCGGAAACTAATAGTAACGCTATAGCGAGCGTCGGAAGAGCGAGCGGTGTGCGCAATAATAACAATGACTGATATGGATAATGAAAGAGCGATGATATTCGCAATATCAACTAAGAACTACGAAATATCGGGTTTGACCACTAAGTGTCGGGGAACTGCTCCCCTCTACTTGGATAATGAATAATGCTCGAGGTCAGTCCAATATATATGTAAGTACGTAGAAATGCGGAACCCGTAGGCGAAAGTAGTGGCGGAGTATTTCGGATCCGAAGTACATGTAAATAAACATGAGGCACTGCGGACTATGGGAAAACATGTAATAGCGCTGGCTACGACGTGAGTAATGTGCGAATTAATGAACTACACACCTAGTGGGGCTAGCAAGACGGAACGGGACACGGATAGGACAAGTGCGCGGGAAAACATCGGGTCCGATGTGGCCTAAACGTCGGGTTGGCGGGTTAGTGTCGGATAACATCGGGAAGTGATTAGCATGTGACGGGTATTTGACGTGTACTGTAAAATAGCTCAATACGAGCCCAGCGCCAGCTCGTGTCCTACAGCGGCTCACATCGGTTTTTCTTCAGCTCTGTCGTGCATCCTTTTCCCATCCCATCCATGTCCTCTGCTTGTCTATTGGTGCGTATTTTACTTGATTTGTATTAGACTGACCATATTTCCGATGCTATATCATTTATATCCCTATTACTTTCGTCATGTATTACCTATTACCGCTACCTACTTGGCTCCAAATAGCACCTCAGTGCGCTCTCATACATACTTGTACTTATGAATTTTCATGTATCTTTCCTTCCCACATAAGAATCTATCCTCCACTTGCACGCATTAACGTCCGAACTCAAAATCTAAACTTTGTATTGACCACCATGTGTGTCTATCTAATGGTCGTGTTATCCTTTTGATTCCCTGTTTCATCAGTCTTCGCGCTACTTACGAATTCGCCATCTTGCCGCTTCGTGGTGCCTGCATATCTATTCCTCACGGCCGCGTGTCAACGTATCTTTGGCCGCTCAAACTCGCTTCACGCTGTGTCAATGGCGGCTCGCTCGCGCTCCATCCATTCTCAACCTCCCTTACTAGTTTCAGTGATTTCCCTCCATTTTTACATAGAGGAATCGTTCTCAGTAGCAACCCCCTTGGACCGAATCATATACTCGCGTCCAGAGGTCTATTTGAGTTTTACCCCACTTCACCCTTTCTTCCCCTTTCACCCCTTCTCATCTAGCTATCATTCCTCACACACACTGGCATTGGCGCATACCCCACCACCACCACCACCACCACCAATGACCACCACACTGTGTCCAATGCCACCAGCACCATGCGCAAATGCCCAATGCACGCCAGCAAGTGCGGACATGGTGCAAACACTTGCGGACGACACCAGGACACCAAAGATACGAAAAGGACAAGATGCGGCACTCATTCTTGCTCATCGCACTCTCATTCTCACTTGCATGCAGCACATGTAGACTCAGCTCTGGATAGGGAGTCGCAGTTCATGAGTGCATTGATCCTCCTTCAAGTTTGAGCCACACTGATCCAAGTTGGTGCCCGCAGTTTGCAGTTTGTGAGTGCATTGATCCTCCTTTGAGTTCGAGCCATGCTGATCCAAGTTGGTGCCCGCTGTTTGCAGTTCGTGAGTGTGTCGATCCTCCTTTGAGTTTCGAGCCACGCTGATAGCATGGCTCAAACTCCTCCATTCTTTGTGGTGATTGGACAGGGTCAACCGGGTGCAGGGAAAGGCAAGGTGCTCTTGGCCGTCGACAGTGAGCTCGTCCCTGCAATGGCCAGACACACTACTATTTCTGGGGATGCAGCCACACAAGCAGGTGCACTCAAAGCTTTACAGCAGAACACCTGGGTAGTGTAGGGGGCAAAACTACTTTGAGCTGAGTTTTGACCAAGTGCTGGCACAACTGGCACTTGGCGCATCGGCAAAACTCGGCAAAACTCCCAGACACTTTACATCGACTTTTAATAGTATTACATCAACAAGACACCCTTCATAGTCAACAGAGACTGCACATCCCAAGATACACCATCCTCCAAGTCACATCCCACCTGTTGAACATCATCTTTGAAAGCTGCAGGGGTGATACATTTGTCAACCTGTTCCAGCTCCACAAGGTCATACACATGTCCCACCAAGATCTCGAACCCTTCCAGCTGGGGGTCAATAGTGGTCGGGAATTCTGCAATGCGCTGCTCAATCTCATCAAAGGCAGCCGCAACCTCATCCTCTGTTAAGCTTTCAGGCCCCTCTAGCTTGTCATCAACCTGACTTTGGCTTGCCAGCGGAGGTGTCCATGCAAAATTTGCATCGAGATCTGTTGCCAGGTCCGTGTTGATGCCACCATTGTTTCGAGTGTGCATGTGTGCATGTTTTTGTCGGACAGGCTTCCCAGTAGCGAGTGCATGTTGGTAGACATGATAGGAATAGTTGTTATGAAGTTTCCCAAGGGTCTCGAAAGTGCGAACTGTTAAGTTGCAATGTTTGACACTCTGTATTCCACCAAGATCCGAAAATAGTCGCTCAATGTCAGCCGCATGAGGGACAATCAAGAATAAGGTGATTGCGAGTGTTTTCAGTGGGTGTGTCTTTGCAGATATCAGAAGGTTCTCCCACCAATCCTTCCCATTGGCTTGACCACCTGTGAATGCACTTTTGCACTGGTAATACTGCTTTAGATTCTCGACAAGTTTGATAGCTCGATCACCATCCCAGCGCCACTGTTTTGCGATGTCGAGTGCAGCTGTGCAAATCTGCTCAAATGTTCGGCTCTTTGCAGCTTGAGACACAGCGAGTTTTCAGCACATCGGATGCAGGAAAATGGCAAGAGCATGAATATTGGTATTCATGGTGTGAAATTCACCATTGAACACAGCTTTGGCATGCATCCAGAAGCTGACATCTTCACCATCTTCAAGTTGAAGATGCATCATTTGCTGAGCACACCGAATTAATTCGAGCATGCAGTCTGCTAAGGTAGCATCCCGTGATTCAAGATTTCCAATCGCATCGACAATGGGCTCACATGTTTTGATGAATTGGCCTAGATGTGGCCAGTATACTGGGTCAGAAAGGACAGTTTTGATCACTTCAGGTGTGACAGGTGAAAGGTTGTTTGTCTTCTTTTGGGTGTCTGGCCGCACACAAATTCTGCCAAGTGGACCTCTAAAAGAATTGAGATTCAATAAACTTGAGGAAACAAATATTTGGACTTACCAATAAGCTTCAATGCTCATAGCTTGCAAGATTAAAGCATACCAACGTGATTCAGTATTAGACTTCATTGAACGATGGATGTTCATGCTTCGGGCTTCATTATCCAATTGGCCACCCCAGTAATGAGACTGGTTGAAGTACGAGACAATGTGAGCAGACTTTGTGGCCACTTTCTTCATAGCAGGGTACAAGGCAATCTTTCCGATGATGGTATTGAGATTATGCAAAAAACATGTGAGAGTCTAGTTGGAATTACAGCCATCAGAATAAATTGATACTTCAAAAGCTGAACTAAACTTACAATGACCCAGTGATACTCAGATTTAAACTTGCGACGGAAAGACTGCATAACAGTTGGGTCATCCATCGTCAAAGCAATTATATTCCTCCCATTTTCTATCTCCATATTTTTCAACGCCTTTTTCACAGTCTCCAAATATTTCTCAGCAGAGCCTCGATGCCCAGTGAGCTCATCAAGACTTAAGACAGTTGGGTACTGCCCAACCTCTGCTGCGACAGAACCATACAGGCTTCGATGGATTTTATCATCCCATCCATCAAAGAGAAGTGTCAACCTTTGCCTCTTCTTTAGACAGTCTATCTCTTTGATTGAAACTCATGCATATTCAGAGTCCTTGATCGTGTGTGATAAGACATAACATGTGGGAGGAATATATAACAGCCGAATGTAATCGATGAATTTGAGAAAGTATGAATTTTTGCTGATGGAAAATGGACTGTTGCTGTGAACTACATAGCTGCATCACATGAAGATCTGGATGAGGGTGCGAGCATGCTTTGATTAGGTTAAGCTGAGCTCACTGAAACAGTTTGAGATTTGCATTTTCCCACTGCACAGGAGTCAATGTATGATCAATGTAATTATTGAGTGGCCCAGACTTCCTTTTTTGGACAACGGCGTGACTTATCCCAGCATCAGATTGAGAATTATCATTGATTTCAGTGACATCTGAGGCAGATGTGTCATGGAAAAGTGGTGCCTCTGTCTGGCCAACAGCAGCTCCTTTCTGCAATAAGGCTTTGCGAGCTTCATTATGAACAGATGGTGGAGCATCTGGGCACTCTTTTTGGTTTGTAAGATGCAAGAGACAGCGGTTATCTCGACCTTCAATGTGTTGACCACTGCCACTGGTTGGAGTGCAATAGTGACACTTTGAAAACTTTTGGCGGGACTTGTTATCAACTCATTCGAGTTCCGTGAAGTTATCAGTGAGGATTTTGGCTGGTGGGTGGCCGCCCGGATGCTTTTCATTGGGCATTTTAAGACGAGTCCAAAGTGCAGGGATGGTATAGTTTAACAAATGGTAAAAAAACATGGTGATATTACTTATTACTGAACTAATAAGTCCATTGATGGTGAATCTATGAAGGAAACCTGTCAGATTGTCGAAGTTACCTTCTGGTACTACAGTACTACTACTAGTAGTTGTGCCAAGTTTTGCCACCGGCCCCTCCGAGTTCGCCGGCAATTGCCAGGTTGGCAAAACTGGTGCGGTGCAATGGTGCAGTATTGCCAACAACACTACACTTGGGTGCACCTAGCTTGTCATGGCAAGCAGGACCCAAAGCAGCCTTACATTTCACATTTCATCATGAGAGACAAATGTTCACAGGCTCACAATCCTCTCTGAAACAGTCACTCTGATAGTTTGTATGTAGCTTATTTTGTACTTAGTACAGTAATCCATCTGCACATCTGTGCCTCTTCACCTTCCCAAACACTAAGTCTCTCTTCAAAGTCCGACTGCGATGCTGAATGGAGCCGTACTTGTGGTAATGTTTTTCAGACTGATTTAACTGACGTTTACCGAGCTTTACCAAGCTTAGCAAGCTCTGTAAAATCTACTTTGAATGCCATTATTATTCTAAGCTGTTATTTCAAAGACAATACATGGAAAATACAGCATTATCCTTGAAGGAACATGTCCAATTTTTGCATCATGCCCCACACACAGAATGTCATGGAAACATGAATTACTTTTTTTTTAATGTTTTGACAGGAAAAATGAGGGGAAATTTCTATCTTCTCAATCAATGTTTTTTGGATGTTTGGTGGAGGAAAATGGAAAAATGCCTGCAGTGTCAGCCAGCATAGCCGTTGGTACCGTGCAGACTTTCTTCGCAACTGGCTTATAGACCAGTGTGTGCAAATCTCGATCATAATAATACCATGAATTGAAAGTGTCGATGGTCGCTTTGTTAACAGCGGATTTGGTGGATGTTAGATGCGCATATTGTGCCGACTGAAGCGGGGTTAGAGACGGAATGGTTAGCGGCGGCGGATGATGCGATGATACAGAAAACGATGTGATGTTGCTCCTTGAGAGCGATAATGTGTTGCCTTCGGTGTTTGCATATTTCAGTGCTTTGGGACTTAAATGAGAATGCGAATTAAAATGAGATGCGGAAATGTGGTTAGCGGAATATAATAACAGTGGGTAGATATCTCCCCGCGGCAGCTGCAGATCATCGATACCTAAAAACCCTTCTCCTCGGCTTTCGCTTTTGCAGAGTGCTCGGCGCAATGTTCGCTGTTGAGGCAATGGTTGCAGCGCTTTACCCAAGGTATGGTCGGAATGTGCAGCTCCTTGCGGGTGTTTGGATCTGTAATGACAATATCTTGATCCCCATTAGGGAGATCGTTAGTGCAGCAAGATGATAACTTAAAAATGGATGGCTGAGGAGGACTTCAAACATTGCGCGGTTGGTCACCTGTACTTGGAAGTACATGGGACCACCGCCGAAATCAAGTGGGATGTTTTTGATGATGCCTAACGTAGTGTCGCAGTGTAGAGACTGACATCTCTGTGGCCTCGTAGAGGTCTAATTTCCAATGCATGTATTAATGCTAATCATTACCCGAATCATTCCCTATCCTATCTGACTCAATACACACCAAACCCGAAAATCATCGGACATCGGACATCGCACTTCGGACATCAGACATCAGACATTGGACATTGGACATTGGACTATTGGACTATTGGACTTCACGTGTACTCGTCCTACCTATGTCCTGTCTCATTGCGCTAGCCCCACTAGGTGCACAGTTACTTGTTTTCCGATCACTAACATTGTAGACCACATTATTACATGTCTGCAGCACCTCATGTCTTATTACATAGGACATCAGACCCGAAAATATTGCACTACTACTTTTGCCTATAGGGTTCTGGACTTCTATGTATCTACATAAATATTGGACTCCCCATAGCATTACCATCATCCAAGTAGATGAGAGCCGTTCTCCAATGCTTAGGGGTCAAACCCAATATTTTGTAGTTCTTAGTTGACATTGCGAATATCATCGTTCCTTCACCACCCGTATCCATCATCGTTATTATTGCGCACACCTCTCGCTTTCCCGACGCTCGCTAGCGCATTGCTATTAGTTTCTGATACCCTGAACCCGAACCCGATAACCCGAAACCCCAAAAACATCGGACCCGACGCTTTTGCATCGGACATTGTAATTACACCTTCGGACATTGTTTCCCGCGCTTGGACTATTGACCCCACATCACTCACTGACCCCCAAAACTATTCCCAGACCATAGACCCCTGGGTCGAATGCACTTGTCTCACCAAGTATAGCAGACTAGGCAGTGCAAGACCACAACATAAAGATATCAGTTTGGAGCCATCTTTGTATAGCCCCACTCTGTGTTGTATTCCTACAGCGGGAAGTATTGACCGACTCCATATTCGCGCGCCACATCTAAATCTTCTTCATCCTCTTCGGACTCAGATTCGGCGATGGTATGAATGAATGTGGACGAGTTGACATCTACGACCACTTCCGTTCCCGGTGGTGCGCGGTAAAACATGTTCACACTGATGCTTGTGCCTGGCAGCGCCTCATTAGCCTGCTGGCTACTATGATACCGATTGAGACGGTCCTTGAGTGTGCCGTCGCTTTGCTGGCCGGGAATCCAATTGCCATTGGGGAGTACAAGCTTATTAAAGGTGACATCGAACTTACATTTGCCAGCCGCGATGTACTGGTCGCATTCATGGCACCTTCCCATGAAATGGTCAGAGCCGCTGCAAAATATACAACCGCTAGGGCCGTAATTTCCGCTGCGCTTTGCAAAGTATTCCTGCTTTACTACAACATTTGGCGCCGCTTGTTGGTGGACCGGCGCTGCCAGCGATGCGGTCATTGCATATGGTGATGCTATTACCGGCATGTTGGAAGGTATTGTACTGGTAACACCGATACCTGGTAGCAAGAAGGTTGTGGCTGTGACAACATCGTTGAACAGGTAAGGGTCCCGCAGGTGATGGTCAGGGAATTTGATCATTAGGCGCGTAAGTGTTTGTGCCTGGATATCACTTGGGAATCCATCTATAAAAATGCAGTCGCGCTCCGCCTTACCTATGCGATCCTTCTCAATCAGCACTCGCGCGACTTTAAGGAATGCACGCTGATAATTGCCCAGTTCTTTTACCGAGCACATTGGTACATTCTTCTGGTTGCATGTGATTGCAACTAGATCATCAACAGTGTATCTTAGGTCGCCTTCGCAGCTGGGGTACATCGTCTTTACCTCTTTTATGTATGCGCGGTAATCGCCACTTTTAGCCTCAGGCATTTCTGCCCATAACTCTTGTTTGCTCGTTGGCAGGTAGCAAATTATGCCTTTGATGTGATCGCCATTTATGAGACCTGCCTCATCAGCAAGGACCTCATAATCATCGATGAAGGCAAGTAGATTTTCTGTAGTGCTGTCAAACTTTGGTGCACCTTCTGTGCCACAGATCGGCATTCTAAAAGCAGGAATGGCGGACATGGTAGGTTGTGGGGCGGCTAGGGGAAATTGGTAGACAGGTTGTTGGATGAGAGGTGACGGTCCATGGGAGAAGATAGCGATGGCCGTGCGGATAGAGTTAGGTGCAAGCGGTGTGGAAGTTGGATAATGTGGATGGGATGATGAAGCAATGGCAGCATTTGTTGGAATGCTTGGGAATTCTCGATCTAGATCACTGAGGGATGTTAGCACACTTATATTTTTGACGTTACGGGTGTTGGGAAGCATCGGCTGTTCAGGCATTGCATAGAATGTGCCGGGTAGGAAGCTCCGAGGGTTATCTAGCACTTCGAAATTGTTGGACAATTTGCCTTGTACTGAATCCTTTGGGGAAGGCATGACTGGCGATGTGGGCACGTGGTTGCATGCTACAAATAGGTTCGGGTCAGGGCGGGTTGGCTCAGAAATGTTGCGCGGGCGGCGCTTACTCTGCGGCACAAAGAGTTCCTTAATTGGTGTTAGTTGCATGTTCGGAAAGGCATGATTAAAACTGTCAATTGCTTCTTGGCGCACTGTGCATTCCTTCGTAGGTCTCAACTGCCTACTAGTTTTCTCAGATAATCCCCTCGCGGTGGGCTCCAGTTGTGTGCGAGGAATGATAGCTAGATGAGAAGGGGTGAAAGGGGAAGAAAGTGGGAAGTGGGGTAGTACTCAAATAGACCTCTGGATGCGAGTATGTGATTCGGCCCAAGGGGATTGCTACTGAGAACAATTCCTCTATGTAAAAATGGAGGGAAATCACTGAAACTAATAAGGGGGGTTGAGAATGGATGGAGCACGAGGACTAGTGCAATGTGATGCGAGCGTGAGCGAGCCGCCGTTGATGCAGCGTGAAGCGAGTTTTGAGCGGCCGAAGATATGTTGACACACGGCCATGCGGAATAGATATGTGGGTGCCACGAAGCGTTAAAGCGAAGCAGCGCGACGGCGAATTTGTAAGTAGCGCGAAGGCTGACAAAACAGGGAATCGAAAGGATAATGTGGCTGTTAGATAGACATGCACGGTGGTTGA